TATTTTAGAACCAATATACCTATTCTTTTTATTAGAAATTCCTTTTTTCTTAGTTATATTTGAATTAATAAATTATTGTTCACTTAGTACGTTAACACTTCGCATTTCGTGTCAGCATTTTTACAAGCTTAATTTTTACGATATCTTCTATGTATTATATTTTATAAGTCGTCTTTTTATAGAGTTATCAAGATATATTAGAAAAAAAATGCGCAAGAACACCGCCATGTTCCAGAACCAAATATGTCATCTATCAATATACTTTTATGTGAATTATTTTTCTTTAAAACAAAACGCTACGTTCCAAATACATAATTCACTTCTTTCGTGCCATAAAACTTAGCGACAAGGCATTTTTTGCCAAATTCGTTAGCCATATTAAAGCAAATTAGTCAACAAAAAGGTTTGGAAATTTATTAGTTTCCTAAACAATAAATAGTTTTGCGGATCCAAAGCGGAAAGTACTACCGCTGCGATTAGTCGTTAAGATAGTAAGTTCTATATTGTTGGGACAATATATTTTAGAAGTTACGGATATTATGAACGTAAGATCAGAGCATCTTCGTTTAAGTAAAACACACTTAGCTACAACGTTTTGAATGCTTCACGCCATTTTTTATTCATATTTTGTATTACTAGTGTAAACTACACACAATACTTACATCTATGTTACTATTCCTTTAAGTAGTGTTCTTAATTTTATGTCTGTATTATATTGTTGCTTTGTCTTTACTATTAATTAACCCTAAGATTTCTGCCTCTGGAAAATAACTTAACGTACAAAAGGGCCATCGTAAAAACGCCTCTCTAAAGACGTGTCATTCAAATCAATAGACAATTCGGTGGATGGTAGAATCGCCATTCGAACGGGTGGGTAATTTTGAAACCTCAAGTAACATATGGTGGTGGCAGACGCCATACCAACTGTCGTAACCTCCATCTCCCTCCCGCTAATCTCAATCTAATGAGCACGAAAAGGACGGAACATTCATTAGTCCGTATTTTTGAATTGCGAAGAATTGTTTGTCGTAGCCACGTGCTCCGGAAGGGAGGGTAGGCTTTGACGCGAATTTTAAATTTCGAACAGGATATTGGAAACGATAACATGTGGATTATAACAAAGGGATGTTCTTCAATGCTTTGAGAAAGTAGCGATACATTGTATCTTTGATCGAACAACTTAGAAAAATGTATTTAAATAAAAAGTTTAACACGATCGCATATTAGTGAATGGATCATGGCAAATCAGAAGACCTTTATAAGTAAAAGTAGTAAAATACTACATAATTGTGTCCTTTGCATGGGTTAAAAAAAAAATTCTGAACGAAAGCAAACAGTAGAGAATTATGAAAAGTAACAATTTAGCCTGAAAATTAAGGCAGTGTTTTCAGCAGCGCAGAGAATTGTGTTATATTGTATTCTAGATTAAAAATGGAAAAATATATTATAAACTTGTAAGATTCTAAATTATAAGTAAATGAATTAACTAGAATGTTTTATCTTTGTTATTTTAGCTTTTGAATCGCTATTGGCTTCATGCGTTATAGTAATATTACAATTTATAAATTAATAAAAAAAACTCTATAATCTTTCACCCTGATGAACTAATCAAGAATGTTTACGACATTTCTCCGAAGCAGTATTCGTTGGACCAGACCGTGACGGTCTCTAGTGCTCAATGGCGGTCTATAATGCCATCATCAAAAGGGTTAAACCAGATGAAGCCATTTCCATAAATTGTATTAAGGTTTGGGTATAACTATTACAGAGGTTCAAATTATTATTTGGATAGCTGAAATAGGAAGGTGAAGTGGGTAGATAGGTACGTTACTATTCGTACGATTCGTAGTTACGTTGTTGAGTTGGCTTGAAAGTTAAAACAATATAGCTAATACGAAACTTTGCTTCTTAATGCAATTTCGAGTTTTGTTGCTTAGTTGATTTTATCATATGAACTAAAGGATTATTTTAATTTATATAGTAGATATATACGAGTAGTTTTTGTTTCGAGCAGTAGAATGTGTAATTTTGAGATCTACGATAGTTTATTTTAAACAATCTAGCACTGCACAAGTAGCGTGTATGGGTTCGATTTGCAGAGAGTCCATTGACCACGATCTGAGCGTTAAATGGCTTTAAAAAATATCGGTATACCGTCCGGTTACGTTCATAGAAAAAAAACTGTACTTCAAATCTGAATTGTGATTTTAGTTATAATTCCTGAATATATAAAACCCATTTACGTCAACAGCGCATCTCGTTAAGCTGTTATGTAGCTGGATCATTGAAAAAACAATGTTCGACAGTAAATAAAAACAGCTTAATTTAGTAGCTTTAACTCGGTTACTTAATTCTTGCTCAAACCGACTTTCCCACAACACGACGACACTTCGGACCGCTCAGCGCAACATAAAACAAAACCGCCTTACGATCACCTAATGTCTATGGTAATTTCTCCTCATTTCTCCTAACGGACCGAAATAAAAGCCTCTCCGAACGATTAAGCCGATTGAGCCATTTAGAAAAATCCCTTGTTTGTTTAGCATTAAATATTATAATGGGGTCTAAACGATCGCGTCGGCAAATAAAGGGTTGACTACGATTCGGTCAGCATATGGACGATTTAGTTTTTTATACCGATCGCTAGAGTAAACAGTATAAGGTTATATTGTTGTTTAATGTTTACTTAGAAAGATATTGTTAATTAGAATGTATCCTTGTCCCCCGTGACCACTGCTACTGCTAAGCATCCGAAATGTTTGTCACAGTTAAAAGTAAATTAAGTTAATGAATATACTTCGCGTTTTAAACCGTTGAATATAAAATCAATTCAAACGAAGTCTTTTGCGAGTCTTACTTTCTTTTTGACTTTCTATTATATCATCAAGCCAGTTATATCTTGAATGCAAGTTAGTAGGCGCCAAATACACAACTAAGTTGTAGGAACGTCAGTCTTTTCAGACATTACATAAAACTTTTGGATATAAAACAAAAACAGTAACCAAAACTTCGAAACTAAAATAACAGAAGGAGCACGAGACACGTCAAAAGCGAATACTTCGTTGACAGCTCGTTTCAATCCATTTGACCAGTGACCTATATCAAAGTGAGGAAATGTTGCGAATTCCCTTCACGGTAGCGATGTCCCGCGGCGTGGCCGGCTTTGACTTCTGAATAATCGCAAAAAAAGTGTTATCGAGAAAAAGTTGATCGATTCGTCCGACTTTCGATGGACTTTCAATTCGGCACGCCTACTCGCTTATAACAAACCGATAAAAAAATGTGTGAAAAAAAATGCGATAACTACTGTTGCAGATCATGGAAAATTTCACGATAGAACTTTATGTTACGTATTTTATGCGAAAAAGCATGCTTCTAAATACCGGGTTTAGTATTTAACCGGAGTATGTCACAACGCATGAGATTTGATTTGAGGCCGAAAAATAAAACAACAAAAGACCATGATGTCCACAGATTAAGTCATCAAGTGACAGACCTCGTTGACAAAAATACAAATTGCTGGTGTCAAATTTTAGGTACTTTGCAATTTCCCTAATGTGTTTGCGGATTTGCTTGATACGCTGGTTTGTAATATAACTTGCATTATTCCACATGTTTTAAAACAAATCTTTAGTACTACTTACGCAGTAATAAGTAGTTAGTCAGTAATTGACGAAATTAGAAGGAAAATGTTTAAATACAAAAACATAAGTACTGTTTTGTCTGATAAAGAACTTAAATGCTCTCAAAATCTATTTTTTTTAATTATTCTATGTTTCCTAATTAAATGTTTATTTTTAAACGTGTTTTTTTTTGTTTATGATTATTAATTGTTTGTATTAATTTGTTTCGCCTACCTTGCACATCTCATTTTCTTAACATTTCATAACTTTAGGTTGCCTGGAAGAGATCGCTTGTTAGCGATAAGGCCGCCCATTGCCCTCCATTCTTGTATATAAGTTTAATTTGTAATATTTTTTATGTTTTGTGCAATAAATAATATTTAAATAAATAAAAATAAATGAACTACTTAGCCTGATGACTTAGTCTTCAAAATATAACGAATAATATATTTACCGGCCCTCAACATTATTATTTCGTTACCACTGAATAAAAGACGATAAATCTTATTTCATTTTTTGCCGATCCGTTTTCGAATAATCTCTTGTTTTCGAATTATCTAATTTACTATTGTAAAAGAAGTTTCAATATCAAATGACAATAAAACTTTTTTGTCAGCTCGCCCGCGAATAAAGAAACTGCGGGATGTCAAAAATTCAAATGGACGTCAGTTCGAACAATGGGATCCGGCGGTTCGCGCCAAACGCGCCTCCCACAGACTAGGCATAGCACAATGGCATATGTAAAAAGTGTTCACGGGCTACCGAATTAACAAATTAATTAATGTATATTATCTGTGAATAATTTAATCGGAGTTAGTCAAGTGCGATCGTCTATTCCAAGGGCTAGCGATACATTAATTTAAAATATTGGTATAAGTATTTAAAACACGACCACCATTAACGGTTTGTTTCAACCTAACTAATTATTGTTTATGTTGAAACTCCAACATAAACTTTTCTAACAAACTGTCAAATCAAATACGAAAGAAGAAAACCGGTATGGCATGAGTGTCAAAATTTCTTGTAAACCTGCAAAATATATATTACAAAAAAATTAAGTGAAAAACGTTATTATGTAATTGTTTAAACAAAATCATTTCCTAACCTTGCCGTTGTTTTGCTGGCTTGTGTTAGGAAATTCGTTTTTCATAAGTCGATTTCTTTAAGGTAAGGACTTTAAAATATTCTTATGCCTTAGAAAAGCAGCTTGCGAGAATCGTGTAAAAAGTAAAGATATTATAGACATTTATATTGTCTCAAAGTTCTTTAGTTTACTCCTTTTCAGTTTTTACTTAATATTAAGACTTTTATCGAATTTATCTACCATAATAAACGTTTCTTTTCAATATATACGGCCAGTAACCAAAAGCAAACAATATGGCAAACATTGCACGCGAATATCTTGAAGAATCCTTAGATTTGCGTCGAAACATGGACGACATAAATGTATGCAGTAACAACGAGGATTTAAATAAAGTTGCGACGGTGGATTTCCAGGATAAACCGCGGGAAAATGAGGTGAAATTGTTGTGTAAAGTTGGCTTAAACTCACGAAAGTAAGGTCAATTGTCTTAATACTTTATTACTCTTAAATTGAAAAAATATACATTATTTGCAGAGTATACTAACAAATTCATCATCGTACGTGCTGGCGCGCAATGATAGCCAATTGAGCGGTGATGTAGATCGATGGTTAAGAGACTCACCCACTGAAGTTCCAATCGTGAGGAGTAGTGGGTAAATACTTCAAGATTTATATTTCAGAAAACCCACCCCACATAGGCTTTAGCAAAAATGTAACTTACCTTTCTTATCATTTATCGCCTATTTAACTATGTATTTTTTTAAAGTTAGCGAAAGGAAGAATTATTATAATATATTGTTGTATGATGTACATTTCTACTGCCATAGTAACTGAAGTTAAAAAATTTTACGCTTGTTTTATGTGTAAAAAAAATTGCAAATATTAACAAATAAAAAGTAAAATCAAACCTATGGGCATAATATAACCCATTAGATAATTGTTGTTTCGACTAAGGCAAGCGATGTTTTGTTCATACTACATATTACCTATTCCTATAATTCTCTAATCTACACAATCTAAGTGCATGTCGTGAATAAGTAGCTCTTATTGTTATGCCTTCAATATTAAAACGTTATTTATAACATAACATAAATTGGGAATGATTTTCAGAGTACCTAGTGGGCAAAGAACAGCTCTGACCTCGACTCGTGAGTCTTTAGTGAGCAACAGTTTCTGGTACTTGGCAGCGTTGGTACTGCCTCTGTTCAGTGCGAATACCTACCCGCAATGGAGATGTTCACCCAAGTATGTAACATAATATAATAATAAATACCTTCTAGAATGAGACAATTATGCCTAATATATAATTTGTCTTACTAAACTTATTTAAATTTTTTATTTAAATATTAAAACCAATAGTTTCTTCTTAGACCAACTAGTGATTTAAAAAATAGGAGCAAGCCCCTTAATTGTTATATTTAAAAAAAATATAGTTTTTGAATAATACTTATTAAATTATGTATAAAAGACAACTGTAACTGTAACTGTCGCGATTAGCTTTTGTACTGCCATCTAGTGGACCTCTTAAGAACTAAAACGGCTGTCAACACGCTCAACGCAATTTAGTTTGTTAAAAATCTCTTAGATGGCGCGCAAACTAATTTTTTTATTAAAAATATTATTTTCTCTTTCAGTGCAATTTTAAATACAGCAGGATTATTAGTTACTCAGGTCGGACATGCTTGTGGTCGTGTAAGATGTCAGATACGCCGCTTGACTGAAAACACTTTGACCAGAGATATCTTTGCGACGGCAATGGACATGATTCTAGTTGTCTATGCTGTGGGATTCCTTATTCTCTCCATGTATCAGGCATCGCTTATTGGTTGACTATTCTAATATTACTGGTTAGCTTGTATAAAACATATTAATTAATCGAAAACCTATTCTTTAATGGTGAGTTTAGGTAACTAGCATATTTGTTATTCAATGTAATTAAATCAATAATCAATAAACATGGCTGTTATTTTTTTTGCACATACAATAACATTGTTTATTATATGGTATTTTAAATATAATTGGACATTTTAAAAATAAGATCGCTTACATGAACTAAATTGCTCAAGTATATTTTGCATAATGTTAGTCGGAAAACAAAGTAGAGAGAAAACGTTTTCTTAGTGCTTTTAATATCAACTCGTAGATCACGTTAATTTATAAACTGTGAAACCCTTCATAAACAAATTAAATAAGAAAAGTAAGTCACTTGTCTATTATTTGGCATTAACTATTTTTTCAGAAGGCCAAGAGGTCACGTGCGTAGGCAGGTACTACAGAGAAATGCAAGAAAATTTTTGAAATAAGCCTCAAGTAGTATTTAATAATTATTTTGGACCACATGGGCATATGTTAATAAAAGCTGATCCGGCAAACGTTTTGATGTTTGGAAGATTTATATTATGATTGATACAACTGACACAAGTAACTGCTAAGTGAATTCATTAATTCCGTCCAAATTTTAATTGCATGTGATTCGCGGATAGTTTTTAGATCATTTGAAGAGAAGTCATAATTCCATAGATATTTCTTGGTTCTTGGCAACGGAAGCCTTAGTATACAATTGTTATTTCAGTCGTTCAAGAGACTAACAGTCGGATAAATCAAAGTGGAGTGTGAAATTTTAGATAATAAAAAAAAACAATCGCTAACTTTTTTTGGCGAAAGTGGAGTTACATCTAATATCTACTATGCTAACGATAGGCGTGTTGGTCCAGTGGTATATCAACTCATCACCAATTAACAGGATCAGGTATTCGATCCCCAGTCATGGATTGAAGAGACTAGCGTAGACCATTCGATACAAAGCTAGTGCTATATAACGCAAATACTATTATTATAATACTAGAGGGACGCTTAATTATAAATAAACGGAATAATCTTTAGTGCTTTAACTAAAGTGAAATGACTCGTTGGTTCTCAAGTGGCAGATTAGAACAAGTGCCTATTTAATATAACCGATTGATGATTTTTGAACAGCTGCTATTTTTATAACGAGTACTTTGATAATTGCCATAAGTCTTTTAGATATGCGAAGTGATTTGATAATGCTTTTGGTATTATAAGTATTTTCCGGGATTCAAATCAGAAATTCAAGCTAGATTTATACTTAATTAAAAATCGATAATAAATTGAAAAAAATTGACACAACTCGGGCAGGACTTGAACCGGCATTCACAGTGCTTTGTTCTGTTGCTCTAACCAATTGAGCTACCGTGTCCTACACGTCATCGTGGATTTTTTCCATCTATTAATACATGCACCTCTACCGCGATGTTATATTCATTTTCTTAATCACTAATGAAATATAAGTAAATAATTATCTTTTTTTAACCATTCGTTTGTTTCTACCAGTTTGTATCACTGCTGGGCACAGGTGTTAACCACGCCGACGCAGTGTGGGTTGGAGGCTTTAATGACTTGCTGCCTCTGACCACTCCAATCAAAATCTGCAGCCTAACGTTCTCATGGCACATAACACCTACTTAACTCTTCGAAATTTCCGAACCTCATATATACCGGTCGGAATTTATCGTAGTGAATGTGCTTGAATTAAGAAAGAGTGAGAGAAACCATCTCGAAAGCCATAACTAAGTTGTAAGCACAGATTTTTGTGTACGGATAATGTGTAATTTTCCGCAATTATTGAATTTAGTGTAACCGAAGAAATTGAATTATAGGTGGGTATAATCGTAACAATTTTGGATAACTCAAAGTGGTTTGATTGCTTTTAACAATTGTTCAGTGACAGATTTAGAAAAATGACTGTTTGTGTAAAAGAAAACTTATTTAAATCAAAAATCTAAAAAAATTTAGAAAATTTTTGTCTCTGGCAGAACTCTAACCTGCATCGTCAGCGTTCCGTGCTGTTGCTCTACCAATTTATATAAGTAACTAGCTGTGTCCGCGTAGGATACTTATTTTGGGCACCCATTTTATTTAGATAACAAAAAAAACCATCTTTAAAAACTTGTGTTCCCGGGCCCCTGTACCCTGATACGACGCCCGTTTTTGCGGTCTTAAAGAGGTCCTTAAGCGGCACGAACTTTATTTAGATAACTTAAAGAGGAATCATTTTTAATACATATTCTTTTAGTGTCTTAAACCGTTTTTGCAGCGTGCGCTGCGTTCGGAAACCCATAATGATGAATAATTCTCCTATTTTTTTTTTTGTCGCTGTATCTTCGCTTGTATTAGTCTTTTTCGATAAATTCTTTAACTAACACAAAAATAAATTTTCAAATCTAACTCTTAGTTCCCGAGATTAGCACGTTCAAACAAACTATTCAGCTTAATCGGGGAAATAACTCGACATAAAAAGAAACAATGTTTATAAGATATAGTAAATAAAATGGCCGCTTAAAATGTTTATTACATATTTTTCAAAATATTTAAAATCTACAGTTTCGGTTAGAGACAAAAGCTGTTGTTTTTATTGTCATTTTTAATGTATCTTCGATTTATTTTGTGGCATGATAACTGCGTATGACGCAATACTAAAAAAATAACTACAAGTTCTATGAAAATGACTTTTCCCCATAAACAATACATGGCCTAGATAAAGATCGGTTAGTAATCCTTATCAATGTATCATTGTTGACACAAATGGTGCATTCCGATGCGATATTATTCATTCTTCAGACATTTTGTTTGATGAAAACTCTGAAGGTCGGCTGAATTGACTCACGGTTACACTAGGTGTTCCGCGTAATTTTAAAGATAACAATTAATGGATTGGGATTGAAAGCCAAATGCAATGAATAAGATAATTATAATAAGATATATTTAACACCTAATTCGCTGCTACGAAAAAAATTTGACGTTATTGTAGAATGAAAGATTGCACGCGCGCCCCTAGCGGCAAATTGAAAAGCTGTCTAAGAACGACACTTATTAAGATTTAATTTGCGGTTAAATTGAGACATCATCAGAAGCAGAAACACAAAAATTGGTGCATTCCTCAAGGTTGCACTTACGGGGATGAAGGATAAATTTTATTTGTTTCGATAATACGAAATTAAGGCCAGAAAAGGGAAGTTTTAAGGATAGACAGATACAGAAATAAATTAATTAATAATATTTATTGTTCTAGATCCCAAATGACAAATTGGTTCCTAATATGGTATGGGATAGTCAACAAGTTCTATTAACTCAACAATATTAAGCAATTGCCTAAGAATACATCAATTATTCCCTTGATCAGCAAAAATACATAATACAAAAAATATCTTATTAATAAATAAATTTCTCAGTCCTATAATTATTTGTATCAAAAAGTGTCTTTCTGAAACTTAGCTCGCCTGTGTTACTTTTTCTTTTGTATTTTAGGTTCACCGATAGTAACGATGGATCGTCTTATCTATGTTCATTAAATTTGTTCGACTTTAAAGAAATCCGGGCTAAATCATTTATATCAAATCGTACATTTAGGGAGAATTATCAAGCACTTTCTACGAATCAAAATAATTTACCAAAGGCTTCGAGCTTAAATCCACCATGCTTTCAACAGGGCCAAAGAAACGTATTAAACTACTTTGTAGTTCCGAATGCATCAGTGAAAGAGAATGTTTATTCTAGCCAATATTTGGGAAATCCCACGCAAATTTCACGCAAATCTGATATTATTTTGTTAGTTTGTCCACATACCGACACGTTTTCATAACAAAACGTATGAATGGTCAGCTCATTGATATTTTAAGTAGTCATCGCATCGTGCATAAGAAATGCGCTTATTCAAACAAATGTACGTAATTAGCAGAAGGCGACTAGAAGTACGTAAGCAAAATTACTTGCAAAGAATTCTTAAAATATGAGTAAGAAGTTTTTGAATATAACGTTCGATGTATAAGTAATCTATATAGTCTAAATTTTATCTTTACTAATAGGAGTTTGTTTTTAATCTCGGGAACTACGGGTTCGAATTGGAAAATTATTTCTGTATTGGTTAGAGCATTTATCGAGGAAGGCTATTGGCTAAAACATCGCTCTGTGACTGACTGATAAGAGGAAAATTCATCTTTGTGAAGTTTGCAAAAAACAAATTTGGATGCCCAATTCTACGCGGATGAAGTCGCCGATACAACGAGTAATAAATATAACAAATGAACTCTATAATGCGTTAAACCATGCGAATTTCTTTGCTCTGATCCCGGAGAATAATAAAAGTGACGCGCGCGCACACGTCGAAACTTTGATCTTATTACAAATCAAACCGATAAATGTCTCATCTCATGGTCCTAGAGGCAATAGCGGATCTTATACAATTTATAATAAATAATAAGCATATTTCATTATAACTATCCCCTTTATAGAAATGCAACTCTTTTAATGGACTTGGATTCGTTACGTAACACGCTTTCGAAGGAAATAGCACGTCACAGACTAACATAGCGATTTGCCTCGCATTATGTAATGATATGTATGTTTGCTGCATTGCTAAGATTCCTAAGATAACAATGTTTAAATTTAAGAATAATATGTCTACTGTATTAAGTACGAAATTTTTGGGGATTACGTACGGTGTGTTCACGGCATAAGCGACAGCGATTTATATGTTTTCATTTAAATACTGTGTACTTTACGCGAGTATTTATTTATTTATTTATTTATTTATTGCTTTATTATTTATAAAACACACCACAGAAAATACATATAATTGAGGAAATATCTTACGTGCTAACTTATAAATAAAAGGCGGCCTTATCGCTAAGTAGCGATCTCTTCCAGGCAACCTGAAGTAGAGGAGAAAATAAATATAAAATAATTAATTTAGTGGGTAGGTGTAAGGAATAACAACAAATATTAAAGGTACATAGTGAAAGTACACACAACGAGTAGGAGAGAAACTAACTTAAATATTGGAAACGTAAAATTTATACAGCAAACTCTTAAAAGAACGGAGTGATTGAGCTTTTCTGATATTAGTGGGAAGAGAGTTCCAAAGACGGATAGCTTTAACTGTGACGGAATTATTGAAGAAAGAGCTTTTATGTTTAGGAACAAATAGAAGCAGATTATCGATCGAACGAAGATTTAACTGGTGGGAACTTAAAAGGATGAATATCTCTTTTAAATAAGAGGGAGTTTTGGGATCAAAGAGGACACGGTAGAGGAGATGGAGTAGATGAGAATTCCGACGAGTTCGGATTGGGAGCCAGTTAAGTTTTCTACGAAATTCAGAAACGTGATCAAATTTGCGAAGGCCAAATATGAAACGGATACACGTATTCTGAAGCCTCTCTAGTTTGTCAAGTTGGAGTTCGGTTAAATCTGTGAATGAGACATCGGCATAATCTAGAATAGGGAGTAAGAGCGACTGAGCAAGCAAAATTTTTGTCGGGATTGGAAGGAAATTTTGTAACCGTTTTAGGGAGTGTGAAGCGGCATAAATTTTTTTGCTTAACTGGTTCAGATGAGGATGCCAGGACAGATTTTCGTCAATAATTAGACCCAAACTTTTGACAGAAGAAGTGAAAGGAATGATAGTACCGTCTACAACAATCGGTGAAATACTTTGCCTGTCAACCCGGCCAATAAGCTTACTACTACCAATGATGATACTTTGGGTCTTAGTTGGGTTAATTTTGAGACCAAAGCGGGTGCACCAGTCAGTAATGATATTTAGGTCGTGATTAGTAGACTGAATCGCAAGAGGAAGTTCCTCGAGACTGGTATGTCTGTATATCTGAAGATCGTCTGCATACATGTGATAGAGAGAAGAAATATTACTAGTGATAGAGTTAATAAAAATAGAGAAAAGAAGAGGTGATAGCACGCCACCTTGGGGTACGCCAGCAGTAAGATCACGCCACGAGGAAGACTTTTCCTGTATGTCAATCCTCTGGCGGCGTCCCTTCAAATAACTATGAAACCACCCGATCACAGTTGGAGATACGTTGATAGAACGGAGTAAGCTGAGTAGTATGTCAAAATCAACAGTACAAAACGCATTGCTGAAATCGAGAAGAGTAAGTATGGTCACCTGCTGGTTATCCATACTGCGCCGTATGTCATCCGTGATTTTGACAAGTGCAGTAGTCGTACTATGACCAGGACGAAAGCCGGATTGGAGAGGATTAAGAAAATTAGTTTTGTTAAGATACATGCAAAATTGATGGTGGACTAAGCGTTCGAGGACCTTGGAGAGAAAGGGGAGGATTGAAATGGGGCGGTAGTCCGAGAATGTTAGAGGACGAGATTTTTTAGGAATCGGTATAACATAGGCATCTTTCCAGGAATTGGGAAACACGCCCGATGTTAAGGAGAAGTTTAGTATGTGACTAATCACGGGAGCAAGGATATCGATAATAGGAAGGATCATGTTACGACCAATGCAATCACTACCAACAGCTTTAGAAGTGATGGAAATTATGTTCTTTTTAACGTCACAATCAGTGAACGGACAGAAGCTGAACGGTGGAGCAGTAGGGATTGGCACAGATGAAAGAGAGTTTAAAGTACTAATCTTATCGTTGGTATGAAATGTGAATGAGGGACTAGTAAAATGTTGGTTAAGTAAATCCAAGTTAAGATTATTAGAAAGTGAATGATTCTGTGTGCCAATTCCTAAAGTTTTCAAAAATTTCCAAGTCTTGATTGTGTTGCCGTTTTCAACAGACGAGTAGATATGGCGGCATTGTGCGTCCCTACACATAGTATTGCAACGATTTCTTAGCTTGACATACTTGTCTCGATTGGCGCTGTTATTAACCTTTTTATACGCGGCCTTCGCTCGGTCTCTAGCCCTTTGAAGTTCCCTAATATCATCATTTAGCCATGGAGCTGGCAAATGTTTCATCTTAACCGGTTTAACAGGCGCATGTTTGTCATAAAGCTGGGTTAAAAGGGAGTTAAACAGAGCCACTTTCCTATTGATGTCATCACTTTCAAGGATTATATTCCAATCAATATTTTGAGCATCTTCAGAAAGTAGTTCTCTGTCTATCGCGTTAAAATTACGCTGAAGACTTAATCGAGCCTTGGTTTTTGGAGGTCGCAGTTTATAAGAGAGAAATACAAGATCATGAAAGGAGAAAGCATCTGCTGAACACTGTCCGTGTGAAGAAACAAAATCAGGTTTAGAAACTATCATAAGGTCAATAAGAGAGGGAGTAGAATGGGGATAGCGGTGTGTAGCAGTAAGCGAGTAGTACACATTTAAATAATACACTTTAACCGTTTAAAATGCGATATATTTTAGCTAAACTTATTTTCAAATAAGTGTTTTATTTAAATGTTTTCATAGTATAAGTAAGCAAATCATTAAAATCTGAAGCAAAATCAGGTTGACAGCGCATTTACGACATTATACAGCGGGGGTATTACATGAAGTGAAAACTCCATGATTCTCTATCGTCAATTATAAAGAAAAGTGACTAGTAATCTATTGCTGACAGTAACAGTGGATGCCCGTTCCCGGTAAGTATCCGTAAGTCATAATCACTATCGCTTACGCTTCCGCTTACACCAAAGCGTGACCCTTAGAATGATTAAAGCATTAGGCATTAGTGCGCATGGTAATGAGCTCATACCAGCACGTGTGCTTATCTAGGTGCAATGCTTTTGAATCTCAGTACAGTTTCGCGTTCGCGCACAATGGTCGTGCATTTCGTGATTCTTGCGTTAATCGCGTATCCAATACATGCGCTTGCGCAGGTACGTGTAATTCTTTTTTATTGTAATTCTTGTTTAAGGCAGTTTTTTTTTAATAATAGTAAAAAGATAAATTAAAGTACGCCTTTTACATTACTACTTAAATAGGTAGTATTTTGAAAAACACGATTAGCTTTTATTTTACGAGTATTTAGCATTAATAATTATTTAATTATGGCAGATTGCTTTAGATTCACAACAAACGAAATAATCGTAAATTGGGACTTTCACCCTAACTTAGTTTAAAAGTTATCTATACACACACAAGGCAACCGCGAGAAAATATCGCCATCGCGAAAAACTAAATTACCTAATCTAATTAACTGAATTTATATGGAAAGTTGTTTCTTTCGATATGGATTTCAACTTTCATTTAACGTTTTTAATATTATTTAAGCACACCGTCCGTATAAATCTATTATCTATTAGATATATGTATGTATATACTATTGTACTAGCTAATAAAAAAACCTTAGATTGAAATTTACAAATTGTCGTTTATTCTTATAGACAATACCGAATTGAAAATTAAATTATTTATTACAGACATATGACAAAACACTGACACTATTTAAATATGCTTATTTATTAATATGGCCGTGGCCTGCATGTAAATAATAGTTGTGAGTAAATAAAATTCTTGTGATAAGCCGGGTCTCTTATCAGAGTATGTAATTTCACTGTATTTACCTAGAAATCTCTATTTATGAAATAAACGTTATTTACGAACTTATTTTTGATTAATGTAATACGTTTTTAATATTTCTTTGCGTTGTCGATTATTTCGTTCGAACAGGGCACGAAAATGTGGTCTACTAGTCTATAAATAAAATCATTGAATAAACGGACACATAGTATGTGTTCGACCCTTGCTGTGAAGAGGTAAACGACACTTCACTTCGAATTTTTGTATGATCTCTGACGGAAATTGGATATTCCTACATTCCATTTTATGTCCAGATATTCTCATATGTTTAAGAATAATTTTCAATTAATTTTATAAACACGAATTTTGTAGGAATCAAACCACCGACCCATATTTATTTCCTTATACTGTTATTGCACCAACGGGCTTGTCACAATGTTTTATAGAAATATGTTATTCTTAAACTATAGTTATTAAAAAACTTAGCATAAAGCAAGTGAATACGTTTAAAGCCTCTTGCCTTCGTCGTTGTCGGGTAAAAACTATTTGAATGTATACGATACTTCCTATGTACGTAATCTTAAACCGAGCCCTTCAGTGGCGTGTGTGAGCGTCTTTTGTTGACAATTGACCATGACACGTAGCGTCAAGTGTCGCTCTACCGTGGGATAAAAATTCGCTGACGAGACCCTTACATCCGTATTCTAATCTAATCGGTAACTTGAAACTATTCGGTTCTGAAGTATTATGAAAGCTAAAGAAACAATTGCACAATCGAAACTACCATTATAAACTTAGTTTGTCGCCTTGCGGGTAGTGGATTCGATTAGAATCGAATCCACACCAGATCCAAAAATCAGTTCCCAAAACCCCAGTCCCAATCAGTTCAGTTTGTACCATGTCGAAAGTATGGATTAGTGTGACGAATATATAAAAAACGTAAATAAAAAATATAAGGCAAAGGTAAAGTCAATCCTTCTCATACAATAGACATAGATAGGTACCAATTATCAATCAAAACGTAATCAATTTTTAGCAGACTACGTAACGAAGTGGATAAACAAACAGGTTGCGCGACAGAGAGTATTTCTTATTCAAATTCTGAAAGAATATGACAGTCTTCGTCTGACAGAGCGGCGAAGTCTTGAATAGATACTAGAAAATAATCACCCCCATGCCCCTTATAGGGGAAACGGAATTTCGCTTTGCATATTTTTAAACAGATTTACAAATTGCGACTTGAACCAGGCTACCATTGTAGCGCTATACCACTACTTTTACGCCTAAACCGCAGAGAAGCTTGTCCTATACTGAACTAAATAATTTTAAAATAGAATTACATAATCCTACTTGCATAGAGACTATAAATATACCGTGACGCTGTCTGCTCAGCTGATATATTGTGCAACGCAAGGTCACGGCACAATGCATCGCGTCATGCACGCGTATATTTGTATACAAAACATACTGTTTTCTTATCCAGATATAAAGCAGATATTAGGGGGCAATTTCTTTACCAATCTTAAGAGCACCGCATATGAAGCTAAAGCGAAATACCAAAAAAATCTTACGTCTTAATCTTAATCTATACTTTACTATTTTCTACCTTCGTTAAATTAAGTAACAATAAGTATAGCTAATACATTTCGTGTTTTAAATCGTCGAGTATTTTTTTATATTCACGTAAACTATAAGACGATATTTATAAGTTGCAAGTAAAACCTACGGTAGAAATTGCGAGTAGATTTATTCACATTCAAGAGATATAATTCCTAAATAACTCAAACGTTAATAATTAAATTCGCCATACTCCATCGCATAAATCATGCTACAATGTACCGGTCGGGCTGATCTCGGGACTCGACCCTAGCCTGGACTAACGGCACAGCTAATAGCAATAAAAATAATTTAACTCCGACTCGACTTGGGAATTTAAATGTAAATACGGACATTTTTAACTGGCTTCACGACGAGGACGTGTTAATGAACGCTTCGTTTGAAATCTTATGGGAAGGCTGCTAAATCAATCACCGAGTTTGTGCAGTGCAGGTTGAAGGAAGCAATTTCTTTGTATTCGCGTTAACCTAACTTATATTAAATCAGTTACAAGTTGCCAAAAAACCTTTATTACAGAGCAAGAAAGACGAGCATAGGTAACACCAGCGCTATAACATTAAAAGATTAGAAGGAAGACGATCTACGTTTTGTTTTTCATCCAAAATTTGCAAAACGGCGAATCTAACTTCAACTATTTAAAATTCGTTACCGAATGCATTCAACCTAACGGACGTATTAGAAGTTTTACAAATAGAAAGAATTTAACGAAAATATTTACATCTTTACTGAGAAGGAATGATTTTATTTACTACTAAAGTAAGATAGTAACATTATACATTTTTCAAATAACGATAAACATTTTTGTAGACTACAGCTCATTGATCAAACACGTCGAGTCAACATCGCTATCTGCACGCTCTTGATCTATATTGTAATGATTTTTTTATATAACGATCTCCCTAAGACCTTAGTATTAGACATTTTGATTAATTTATTGCTAATTTCGATAGATTCCGGAAACTACACGATAAATGAAAAAGGTTTAACTTCTCAGTGTGTCTTATCACACACACACAATACTTCACTATCGCTTAAATTACAGTAAAATTTTAATGAGGTTTCAAACACTCCGCAATAATGACAATTTCCATCTTAATATTCCGTGCTTGTAATGATAAGAACTCGGCAAGCACATTACAATAATATATTCAAGATGTAGTAGTTTTTTTTATTGAGGGGTGATAGTTTTACCACAACTCGCTGAAATGCTAGACTACTTAAATTAAAAATCGATTATAACTTGATAAATTTACGACTCGGGCAGGTCTCGAACCGGCATCCTCAGCATTCCGCGCTGTTCTACCCAATTGAGCTACGGAGTCACGTCATCGGTAGAGCAAGAGACCAATCGGTTAGAGCAACAGCACGGAGAGCCGAGAATGCCGGTTCGAGACCTGACCGAGTCGTAAATTTATCAATTTATAATCGATTTTTAATTTATATAAAATTACGCGTTCAACATCTATTAGTCTATGGACCTATGGATAACACGTTGGTCCTGAAACCATTAATTTTAAATTAACAATTATCAGTGCATCAAGGAATAAACGTGGATATAAAAGTGTCAACGTAGTGAAAACGCGATTTTGTCGAAAAAAAAAAACAATTTGCAGTTCGGTATCGCAGGAAATAGTAATAAAATATTATAATGCCGCCAATATTTCGATGACGTCGCGGAGGAAACATTAAATTTTAATATTACAAATATAGCATAACTTGATTACGCGTAGAAATTGATTTTGCAAGCAACATAGTAGTTTACAACTTTATACAAATTTGTTTAAGATTCATAATGACGCTGCGTTCCTTCGTTAATTACTACTGATTAAAGCTATTTTTACATTTTGAGTTATTTCACAATAAACGTTGTAGATTCTGGTTATGAACTTCCTATTTGTAACATGGAGCGAATATAAATAATACTGAATATTAAATGTTGTTGTACAGTTAAAAAAAAGAATCCCAAACCTCATTTAACAAAATCGAATTCAAATTGACGACAATTTGAAATCTTTATTAATGAAAGGCTTATTAGATACTCACCGAGTCTACGGCATTTAAAAAAGATGGCTTTTATAATTTCATCTGGTGATTACGATCAAATGGAATCCGAAATGTTTCCAGTCAATTTATAATTTTTAACTGTTAAACTTTATATGCAAATCTTCTGCCCGGGCCACGAACTACGGCCTACAATTGAAAAAGCCGAGAATTTTACCGCGTTTCAGTTTGTCAATTTCCGAATATCAAAAGCCAAAATAGATTGATTGTGCATCTTATTTAAATGTTTTATCGCTGGAGTTCCATGCTATCCTCATATATATCATAAATTGAGTGATATATTATATTTATCTCTAATTCCTAGTTTATGATGTCATATGAAACCTACTAATTATACCAAACAAGAGCCTAAGCCTGTCCACGTCTGTGATAATACATGCGCCATGTTTGTAGTCTGCCGCTGAGAACCTCACGGTTGATTAGTTGATTACATTACGTACGTAACATGATAATGCTAGACCGAATGGCGACCGCAGATACGTCACAATAACTGGCCGAGTGGCATTCCTAGCTAGGCGACCTGTCACGTCTTTAAATAAACCTCAATCTCTCCTTTATAGGGAATGTCAAGATTAAAGCGATCGTTTTGAATAGAAAAATCAATTCATAATAGACAACATATTGATTAATTTCACATAATATCTTTCAAACCTTGCGCAAGCGTCGCGCAGTGGCTAAACTTTTTTGCAGTTTAAGTAATTAGTTACCAGTATTATGAATTTATTGTCATGTTTTAAAATTCGTAGCTTTGTTTATTTTTGCAGTTTCTCTCTTATAAGTTAAAGTTTAGTGCATAAAATAGATAGAGAGATGTCTATTTTAAGCACTATAAAAAACTCGCTACAAATTTGAACCCACTATTTGACGTTCATAATTATCACTAGGCTACGCCTCGTTCTAAGCCTAGTTCTGTTAAGTTATAATAATTGGGAAAGTGCCTTGACATACAAACACTGCTCCAGTGAATAAAGTTTTTTTAATGATTAAATAACTAACACTAAACTATTTAAAACCCCCAAAACGTCAAATTATTAAAAATAATTTAAATACCCTAACGGTTTAAAATGAGAAATATATTAGTTAAGAAATTGTAAACAAGTTTACCTAATATATTTCGCATTTTAAACCGTTAGTATTTTATATAAATGCGTTATAATTGCGTAAACTACCGATAGTTAACCAATGTTCATTATAATCATAATTAAATAGGTTCGTTTTAAACCGTAAAATGTTTTATCTAAACAAATTATACTATATAATGTATCACTTGTCTACTCTTGGAAAGGCTTAGGACGTGAACTCGAACATTTTAACACACGTAAAGAAGAACTTCAATAATGTTTTCACGAGTTTTCACGTCTGGTTCACATTTTTTCGCGAACAGTTTAATTTTAATTAACTCGTAAACTATTTTCTTAGGCGTTGACGTATGCAAGGTTTGTTTGTATACAAGGTCGTTGGTACTGAAATTACTTTCACATCTTTTAGAAGACGCATAAAAGTATTAATTAATACACTGTTTAACACGCTAAAAATGCACATTTCGTTCTATTGAAAGCGGCCATTTTGAACTAGCTACTTGAAGTTTTCAATGTTGAAGTATTAACTAAGTAATTACTATCTCAATTACCAGTGAGAGTGTTTTTCAATCTGAAATAAATATTAAATTTGTATACGATCTCAAAAGCTTTGATGAATAATAAATGTATATATTAAATTAATTTAAGTTAATAGACTTCAAAGACAGATCTATCAGAAAGTAAATAACATGCGCTTTTTAGTATATATAGTATTATACACTATTGGCGTAGCTTTGTAGTTTTAACACTCATCTAACATTTATTTACAGACCAAAGCATCAATATGGGTCGACGTTGGCCCACATTCAGCCGAAAACCTGGAAACCGCAACGCAACACACCCCAGAAATCCTAAAAGAACTCCAATCCGCGACGGAAGACGCTCTCCTCCTTTACACGGAGTATACGGCACAGTCCAGCACCGAAATTAAGACTTTCATTAGGAATATATCTAGACTGACCGAAGATACAGTCCGCAGCATGAACAAGACTTCATTGGATAGCGCTGTGAGTTTTTCTTAATATCATTTGCTTAGAATGATTGTGCTTTTTGATCTCCTGTTTGAGCATAAGTATTCAATTCCAGCGATATGCTGAAGACTTTGGTCGTTTGAATTGGAACAGTATTTGTGTTGGATAGACAGAAAACCTAAGTATGAAAGAAAGACTGTTCTTTTAATGATCTAAAAATATATCCACGTCCATGTTGTAAGATTAACGCCCAAGAACAACGGGAAGCGACCGATTACGTAGGTAATACTTAGCTATAATTTATAAAGATGACGTTGTTTGCAAAAATAAATAATGATGCCCCAAAATGACTACTTATTGCACGCGGACGGGCGAAGTCGCGAAAACAGCTAGTAAATTATATAGTTGTGATGCAGAGATTAAAGATGCCTCAAAGACCAACTCGTCTGAATTTAATTTATTTCAAAACATCTAATTAGCTTAGGAAACGACTGCCGCTAAAGCGGACAAACATAAGCGTGACTGTTCTGGATAGTAAATGCAGGCGTGCCTGGCCCCAATCACGACCCAAGACATTCTTAACGTACAGACAATAATAAATACACACTTCATTTACTTCAAAAGGTCACAATATTATTATATACGTAGGAATGTTTTAAAAATTATCGAATATGTTTACCTATCTGTATGTACAGATGAATACCTAAATTATTTTTGCCGTAGTATAATATTTATCATATTATCTTATACAGCAGAAAAGTTAGTTTGCTTGTTTGAACGCGTTAATCTCAGGACAGATTGATTTGAAATCAAAAAACAAAACCTTTTTCTTATTTAGGGAGGCTTTGAGCTATCAAGCATCGAACTGCGGTCTGCGACCAATAGGAGCAAAGAAAGAGGGAAATGGGAAAATACTGGGATAGTTAGTAGATACACCTTTCAAGATTCCGTTATGCGTGTTCCGATTTTTTTTAATACCCGAAAAATCTATAAAACAATATATTTTTAGATTATTCTTTGAATAATCTAAACAAATGTGCGCGACAATATAACGATTCTATAAGATTATCACACAAGAACTTAGTAAATATTAAGATAATGCTAAATTATTACATTATGAAATTTAGAAAAAAAAACATATTGTTCTCTTTAGTATTCAACTTAAAGTAAAATCAAATAAAGTTCCAAGTTGTCTGGGAAGATATCTAAAATAAAATAAAATATACTTTAATCTCTTTAAAATTAAAAAAAAATATTTAGAATCGTCAAATAACTCTCTAATCTCTCAAATAACTAGTGTTTCCCAAAGTTATTTGTCCTAGATCGTTCGCCTAAGAATATATCGAGTAAGACCCAATATTAAAATGCAAGCCGACGCTCATGTAAGATGCATAATACGCAGTCCTTTGAATAGTCAGCCGATCTCTGCATTCCGGAATGCTGAATAATATATTTGCGTACCATCGCAACTGGAGTATCAATAATTGAGGCAGGTTTTCATAACTGATACTAACCAGATATGTACATTAACTACCTCGCTATTGCATAGGAATTGAGTTTATACATGTAAGTAGTAAGTTTTGGAAGGCATTTTGAAGCTCGGTTGGTATAATAAGATTTTTACTCAAAACGAAGGCTAGGTTGACATTTTCTAGATACAAAAATAATTAATTAAAAATCTGTTTAGATTTAAAAAAAATAGCGACACAGATGCGACTTGAACCGTTCTGTGATGCTGTTTTCCGGCCTCTTCGTATTTTTCGATCTATATATAATATATACAAAAATTATCGCCATTTGTAATTTCACCATCGGGTTTGGTTTTGTTTATAAAATTTGAATAATATATGACAAACGATACCAAAATTAAAAAGAAAATTTTAAATTGGGTCAGTAAAAAAGTCTTCGTTTAGTGTTATTCTCTCTTCTATCCTTCTCATCGACAAAGTGTCCTTAACTTTTCACACCTCTAAATGTCAGTTAAGAGTTGGCAAAATCACAGCACGATCAGCCAAATGACTAATTCACTTTTGATGTCAGTCTCTCCGATAACCTAGACCTAGGACCTAGTGTTATTTATATCTTGGCTATACTAATATTATAAAGCTAAATAGTAAGTTTGTCTGAACGCTCTCTTAGGTACTTACTACTGGTTCGAATATAAATATGCTTTCTGTGTTAGACCATTTATGAGCAAGGCTTTTGGCTATATAACATTACGCTGCGGCCAAAACGGGGCGAAGATACAGTGGAAAATTTAAACAAACGAGAAACATGCATCGTAATCAACTTTTGTCGAAATAATACCATTTATTTGTTAGAGTTGTATGAACATACATACATAAACACAATACTATTAGTCTTGCAAACAAAACGTTTGCCGGATCAGCTAGTCTTTGATGTAATGACTCTTTTGTCGTTTGTCATATGAAAATATATTTGCCTATTAAAACAATATATGGAGCATTTACTTGGAATTATGAGGTTATTTAATATATCAGACTTATGAATTTGAATAACTAATTTGTCGCTAAAATTTATGGAGTATATCAATGGTTTATCCACATTATTTATGGCAATGCACATTTATTGAAATGCAACGCAAGTGTTTTTTCCGGATGGTATAATCTATTTTAGAGCCCTTAATATCAGAGACCACATTTATTAGTCTACCTAAAATTATCTCCAAGGTATTTTTACAACAACCGTATGAACTATTTAATTCTCAAAATATTATAAAGGAATTTGTGGAATTACGTGTAATTTGACTTATAAAATAATCTATACTGATATTATAAAGAGGAAAGATTTGTATTTTTGTATGTAACGGATAAACTCAAAAAGTACTGGACCGATTGTGACATTTCTTTTTTCATTAGAAAGCTACATTATCACCGAGTAACATAGGCTATATTTAGTACTGGATTAGTTACTATAGATATCTATAGAAATTCTTACTAAAACCAACGGAAGGCGTAAAAAAATTTGCCGTGAAATGTCTTTCTTCGCATACGCTGCGAAAAGTATTAATGATAGGACGATAAAATGTTCGTCAATGTTATAGAATATGACGAGAGCATATGTCTAACTATTATAGTTACGTCGCTGCAACTACTTTTTTACATTTAACAAATTGATAGAAATGCCGTGTTATCCATACCGTTTATAAATTTTTATCCAAATAAATAATTTAATATTCAAGACTGACTCAATACCTGATGATTACTTTTTTAACAATTGAAATCGGACATGCCATTCAAAAAATATCATGGAATTTTAATACTAGGAATCAAACTTTGTACCTATAATGTTTGTCAAAGTTCTTTTCAGAACTATCGCTTTGAACTTGAATATTTTCTTTTGGATTATTATTATTTTTTTCTTAATTTCTCCGATTTAAAATAAATATTCTTCAAAGCAATATGCCTAGAAGAAGTTCGCAGCTATCTAAGAATAGTTCCCATGCGAGATTAGCAAATGTTCGTCGTATTGGAGAGTCTTCTTCCTAAAATGATCGTCTGGAAAGTATTAGAGTGTACGCGTCCCAATCGCGAGCCAGAGAATCTATCGTGGAATGTTTAGGTTCGTCTTGCAGAACAAAATACAAGATTGTCGCAGCGACTTTAAGGAAATAGAGCTAGGAATTCGCGAACGCGTGCACGGAACACTAACACTGAACGCTCGCAGCGGCTTCTGAACCAGCGAGATTAACAGAGAGGACGCGCAATACAATTTTTTTCTAATTTAGTGATTCATGGTCGTTTTAATTTAATTATTTGTACGTATTTATGTCTACCCGTGCAAAGCAGGGACAGGGCCGCTAGTGTGATATAAATCTGAAGCTTTAGTAACGTCAAACAACAATTATTGTTTTGAAATAAATTCGCGAGGTCCTTTCAAGAAGTTTCAAGACATGCGATGCCGAAGATTATGAAACAAATAAGTTACGGCTTTATAAAGTGAAAATCCAGTTTGAGTATACGAGAGATAAAACAGAAGGAATGCTAACTCCTAGACAAGTAATCACGGTTTTATTTATTGGAGTAATAAAAATTTTCAGATGCTTCTCGTTATCGTAATGAACGCTTTTAAAGGTAATAATTAATTTGTAAGCAAGATAATTAGTTATCTACATCACAACATTTGTGTTCAATATGCCAATCTAAGCTCTATCAAAATGTGCAGAAGACGGATGTTCCCTTAGTGGCGTGAGGAATGCGCACGAGTGGCACAATTTCAGCTCAAGTCTAGTATTAGTACGTTAGATAAACTCACTCATTTGATTTATTGGAGCTTGAGTTTCGTTGAATTCGCTTGTATTATTGCTCTGTCGGTACTTTAGATACCGACTTGCTAGCCAACTCTAGGCCTAATTTTCGTAAATGGCGTAGTTAAATCTGCGATTGAATGGATCAAATTATATCTTTATTATTGCCTGAATTCGTCTCAAGCGCATGTAGATGTATGTCTCAAGTGTAATGCAGTGAATTTGTTGTAGACGTCCTATGGATTGATATAAGTGACATAAAAATCTTAACCAACTTATATAAGTATATAACTTATTCCACGTGAAATAAGTAAAAATGAGTAATTAAACAAAACGCTTAAACGACAAAAACTACGATTATTTTTTAGTTAAAACCTGATCTTTTAAGTTTCTTTTTAGTTTTGTTTCCAATTTTTTTTCACTTTTATCATCATTAAATTAATTCCTTCATTTTACAATATAATAATAAACAAATGCATTAAAGTAACTTAATATAAGTAACAAGTCAGCTACTTATTAACAAGACTTCAGGGACCACCCAGAAGAAAACTTTTACATTAATAAGACTTATTTTATCTTCCGGCTTATAAATTCACAGTAAGGAATAAAAAATATATGATAGACAAAACTATGGTATTATTCTTGTGGTTTGTCGTTTATTAATTCTAAAAAAGTTTCAATATATTTATTATACTCTTATTATTTTATCTAATATTTTATTAATTTATTATAGTAGAGAAAAAAATTGTCTTAGATGCTCAAAATTGTTTTCAAGAAAATTGTGTTTAATTTAGTGCATGTCATGTGTAGTTTGCCAAAATTATTGTCGGGGTTATCTGGATTCTGAACCATTTGGCTTCCAAATATTCCGATCTGGTCAAGGTATCCGCCGTTTTCATGCATTTCTCGATGGAAATGCTTTCAAACATATCAGGAGTGACGGCTTAATGCATTGATCTACTTATTGTACTCGTGTATTGAAAATAACTGTTGCAAGGAATTCCTAGGATTCATTTTAATACTATGTCGGTAAAATTAGTCAACACACATTTTTAACAAAAGCTTTTTTAATTTAAACTTTGTTTTAATAAATGACACTATGCTGTCATTTAAAGTTTTTTTATATAATAAAGTGGTTTAGTAGGTTAGTTAGGTTAGTTAAAACAGTATCTATAAATTAAGTATAGTGTAAATACTGTCTGTAGTTTACGCGAGTAGTACACATTTTAATAAAACACTAACGATTTAAAACGCGATAGGTATACGACCTGCTGCTACAAAGAAACTAAACTACATAAATTTCTTTTAGATAGTTACGGTTAGATTTCCTTAATTTTATTTTTACAAGTTTTACAAACTAAACTATTCTACTAGAGTACCAGTGCATCGTTTCTGTATTATTTTCTACGCCGTTGACCTCGTCCTCGGCAACGGTTCAGGGTGCCGCACCTCGTTAGCACCACTCTTCATTACATCAGTTCTACACTAATTACAAGCGACATACATATGTGTCCTTAGGAAATGCCTTAAGAATGACATTTTATCTTAGACCGAATTACAAAGAAATATTGAATAAGACTAACAGTAGCAATGTTTTGCTTATTACTAATGCCCAGGCCCAACAAATATCGTAATTATTTTATAATAAAAAAAAAAGTTGTAACATCTTGGACCTCGTCTAAAATACTAAATATCTAATGGTTGGTGGGTAAATCGAAATTCCGTCTAACGAACAATCGCATCTTCAAAGAAGTCGTCAAGTGATTCACGTTTCGGTTTTTAGTCTTGACGAAACTACAGAGCCAAGAAAGGCCGACAGCGCATCTTAGATAAATCTAGGGCTGGAATAATTTATCTTTCGAAAACCTCTATCATACAAATCCCATGGCACTCGTTTGTATAATAACTTCTATATAGACATGTTACTGGTTATTTGCTAAGTGTACGCGGATCATATAATGCGAAAATATTTGCGTTCGCATTTCAGGTTTGAAGGCTGACGTTTCTGAAATATAAACTAATGCAAGGTTGCAGTTTAATTGCACCGGACACGCGAATATTGTTTACGTTTTAACGACTTCTACTCGTTTATGATGCGCAAGCGTTTTGTATCGGGTGACTATTGCCTAGGATAATAAAACGAATTGTTTTAAGTTTTAAGGGGATTGTAAACTTTTTACTGTCTGTTTGTAATTATTGCTCTACGTCAGCAATTTGCTCATCCTTGCAAATACCTATAGTTCTTGCATACGCTACCACGTCTGTAGCCCAATGGTTATGTAATTTTGAGTAGAACATTTATTTAAACTATACAAATATTATAAAGCTGAAGAGTTTCTTTGTTTAAACGCGCTAATTTCGGGAACTACTGGTTCGGATTTTAAAATTACTATCATGTTCGTTAGAGAGTATCGAGGTAGACTACAAAACAGAAAAAGGTTAGGAAAAACTAAAAAAAAAACATGTTCAAAATAATTATCGCGAACGAATGAGCTGACTCGGCTAAAATGTATAAAATTTTCGCTTAATAATCGCTAAATTAAATTCTAACGAGTATTGCCTTTATTGGGGTTTGAAGATTTCGCGCGCGTTTCAAACATTGACAATGACATACAGACGAATGTAGAGCCACTAAATTGAAAGTGATGTCGTTCATGGCATTAAGTTTGTTTGCACTTATTAATATGTCGATCAACCTTGTACAGTGATTTCCTAAACAGAATAGATGCACCTTTTTAGTGTTTTAAACAATATATATATTGTGATATTATAACGCAACATTTGAAAATCAACTATGAATATAATAAAAGGGTAAGTAAGTTTACAGATAATTCCAAATCAAACCTATTGAGAATACTCCAACTAAAATCGAAAACATATATTTAATTTATTAAATACATATACGCGTATACGTTGATATGATAAACCGCTAGTTTAGTGGCCCTACTCCGCACAGATGACATCATTAGACTTATTATTGATCGATGCTGAAATGATTTTATATTCGCGACCATTACGTCTTCACTGTCGGAAGCAGTTATTTTCATGATGTAATGTAATGATAATACGACGAGTTATAATTAACTGAGGTTTTGGCATATTTACAAAATATAATAGATGCGAGTCCAGTGTTCGAAATAAATTAAAATTATTGTTAGTCATGGGTGCATTCTTAAGAAACAATACGATTAGATATTATCTCAAATATATTTGGAAAAAGTATTTTTAATGGTTTAAGCGTATATTTTATTTCAGAGCAGTTGTGTGTCTGTTTATCTCGAAAATATTAGTTCTAGACTAAATTTGTTCAAATAAAGAATGTAGAAATTTAAATTAAACTGACGGCAGAAAAAAACAAAATAAGTAATATTAACGATTATCTAATATTGATTTATACATAAAATTCACTTTCTCTTTTAAAATTATTTAGATTCGTCAAAAATATATACAAATAAACTGCCTTCCACCTTCCAAATTAAACAAAAATTATAATTCCAGCCAACCGAATGCAGAACAGAGTTCGAGAAACGTCTCAAGAAGATAGAGTATGACGCACATCGTTCCGCCATTTTCAGTGGAGAGAACCATCACAAGTTCTTTTTGGGACACATGATTGTCTTTCGAATGCATCTCAACAAGGTAAATGAAGACTTCTTCACAATGCCTTTCTCTTAGTAGAAGAAGGCATTGTGCCGTTTTGAATATAAGTATTATAAATAAAATATTTTGAACATCTAAATACCTACGTGTGAATTATGTTTTGTATTAATAATTATGTTTTCATTTTAATACTCTAGTCAAGTCTGATTGAAATATATCCTCTCCCGGGATTCGAACCCGCTCTCATGTGCGGCAGTAACACTAGAGTCACGATGACATTCAAGGAAGTCCCTATATAAGTGAAAATGTATCTATTATGTATATGAAAGTTAAGATGTTTTATTTCAGAGCGACGAATACATACGAAAGTGTGATAAAATAATCAAGACGTGTGGTACAGCGTGTGAAGTAAGTACAGTTAATTCGCCTTCTTATATATAAAAACAAAGACCCACCACGCTGCTCCAGTGCGGGTTGGTCGGCTATACCGAGCACTGCATACTTCCGCTAGCTATGTACTTTAAAAATGTAATAAATTCGAAAAACCCTGAACCCTTGAACCCTGGACCTAGTGGTCTGTTATCGATTATACTAACAAAATAACGACATGAAAGTAGTTAAAAAAATACATTTTCTCTATAAATTTCGCCCTTTCGCGCTTAAGCCAAGATTGATAAAAAGAAACTAATTAAAGAGAGACATTAATAAACAAAGCACTATACGCTACGAAATAACTATACACTTAAAATTACAACAGAGTTTAAAAAAATACACGATAAATTGAACATCAAGAATAAAATAAATATTTTTCTCTTTTCAGTCAACGCCCCGTATTATCAGATGGAGGCGACTCGCTTTAGCGGAGATCAAAAGAGTAAGAGACGACATACAGACTTCACGCAGATCGTACAAGGTATTTTAAAGCTTAACGAGAAATAAAGTAGCATCAATCAATAAAGGATTTACGTATAAAGAATAAAAATATTAGATTGTATTAAAAGCAATGACTATAATATGCAAACGAATTTTTCATTTGCCATAAATATTTTTGAGAATACAGTGCCGTAAGTGTTTTTAAGTACACTTATTAAAACGACATTGGATAAACTTCCGAATAGTGCATACCGCCGAGCGATCTGAAATTTATTATACTTATGTATTTTGACTTCAATCACGAATATCATACACACCCTTTTCGGAAAAAGCTGAAATAGTCTACATTGGTTAGAAATGCGTGATGAGGCACACTGAACGAAAAGAGGTTTTTTTCGATTTTCATATTCAACTTTCGATATTCGTGATTCAAATTTAGGTCAAATTTGAGGTCAAAATACATAAGTATACCAAAATTCAGATCGATCGGCGGTATGCGCTTTTCGGAAGTACACCCAAAACATTTATCGAGAGATCGACTGTGTCCCTCATGTCTTAAGTCCCATCGTTAGCGGCATCCAAAACGTCGGGCCGTAACGAAAACAAATTTCAAATAACATTAACATTTCCCGCTTTAAACAGCAAAATGATTTATGAAATTTCGTTTCCCCCGTGGGTATTTATCAAATAGCTAAAAATATTTCAGTAACAGTTTAGGTTGAACGTAGCCAGCAAACAGTCGGTAGTTTTGCGTTTATCGTTGGCATTTATAAACAACAACTTGACATATACTCTACAAACTACACATTCACTAGAAGATAGTTACAAAAAAAATTGAATTTCAGGATCTTTTGATGCACGCCCATCGCAAACTGAATCACTTCAGACGGCGCGCCACCTCGCGGGCTACTGAAGCAGTCTTGGTTTTAGAAGCTTGTACAAGGCGGAGTGCGAGATAAGTTAGAAGTAAAAACCGGGAAAATGAAGGAAAAGTAATATAAATAACCAAGCGAGAGTGATTTAAGGTACTGCGGAAAAGCATTAAGTTTGCCTATCTCAAAATTAATTTAATGAGAATTAAATTGTGTTCATATAAAGAAATTATCTGCTTTCGAAGTTCCTAATTGGTATTAAACTAGTTTATAGTCAACACAATTTCGCAAAACATAATTGTGGCAACACGAGAACTACAATTATACTTATTTGCAATTCGTAACGAATATAAACGATATCGCTCCGAACGATTGTTAGTTAATTTTTTACTTTTTTAAGTATGATTAATTAAGAAAATATTTAAGTTAGTGAAATTTAAACTTAGAAATGCTCTGGTTTTTTCACTTATAGAAATGTAAAAAATCATATTCTGTATTTACAATTGCGTTAATTCTAAGTTTACTTAAAATTGTATCAGCTTTTATAAATTATACGGTACATTGAATTTAATTAACATTAATTTTTAAATTAATTGTATAATTCGTAAGAAGTCTTGAATGAAATTTTAAATTTGTTGTGCCATACGTATGTTTGATTTAAGATTTGTGTTATAAGTACAACACAAAGTAAAATCTATTACTGAAATTAGATATTGTATAAGTTTAGGAAGACTTTCCTAATTTATATTTATAAAGGCTATGTAGATTGGCTTGTCCCGGACAAATGCGTTAAGTAAATACTTTATGTACGTAAGGCAAGTAAAAACTTCTTCCACATAATTTCCCAGCATTAACACTCTTCTATAGAAAATCTTTATTCAGTTTATAGTTAGAATAAATTGTACTTAAATTAAAAATCTATTTAAGATTGTACTTAGTCTCACTGTGATAGTCGTAATTATATTAAATTATTGTTAAATAACAAAGTGTTATGTCGAGAGTACAACTATTATTGTAGATGGTGACAATTTATTGTTGTTAATTTTATTCATTAATTAATATTTTTTTAATAAAGTCTTAACAAACGTGCCTACATGTTTTATTTTACTGGAAGTACATATATTGTATCGTAGAGAGAGCACTTTCATTATTAATATAAGTCAAGTAGCCTTTTGAATTGTCTCCGATAAAAGTACTATTCTCCCGAGATTCAAACCCGCCCAATTGAATTGCGCATGTAACAAAAAGTACGTAAGCAGGCGAACTGTTTTCTCTACACTAACGATTAACATTTTAATGTTCAGCAATAAAACATCTTAACTATATTTATCACACCCCTTGACATCTAGAACTTGACACTATCCTCCGATAGTGACAAGTTCTACTCGTATATCTAGATATTTTAGTATTCTAGTGCATACGCAATGAGAGCGTGTCTGTATCATGTTAATTAAATATTTCGCCTTTCTTTGGGTCTGCGGAAATGTCTTTTGCCAGGTGAGTTCCAAACCAGTACGAGAAATATCTGTTTCCTTGCATACCACATTACGTCATTAAATATACATATATGTTTGTTTGAATGCGATAATCTCAAACATAGATGGTCTCATTTCCGATTAACGACAAATATTTAATGCTTCAATGTCAATATAAAGCTTAGTAGGTATATATGGTTAAAGCTGTCACCAGAAAACGTGACTGAAGTCCTTCTGAAGTACGAGGGTTATATAAAATCTGCTCAAGACCTGGACAAGGGTGACAAGCAACTGCTGAAGACCTGGGCCTCGCTAGAGCAGGTGCAGCTGGTCAATCTGACGTCACACTATCGCTTAGAGATGTCGCGTCATAAGGAAAACAGCTTCGGTCGCGTTTCTACAAATCCTAGTGTAAGTTATATATAAAAAGGGTGGCTGAATATTGCCGAAACTAAAATAAGGTCACGCTAACATTTAGTTAAAATTGACCATTAGTTAAAAAGGAAGCGGTATTTTTATTTAGAGGTGTACCATTAAATAAAATTATGAATGAATTTCCTTCCATTAAAATTTAGGAATGGAACCGGTCCACTCAATGTTATGCTGAACAGATAGAACAATAAAACAATAATTATGTTTTTTATACTTAACACTATTTAATGCAGGTAGTTACAACAAAACTGAATTTAAGTTTAACTACTTTTGTAAATATTTATTTAATTGACATCTATATTTTTTGTTGCTGTGTAATAGTAAATGCGTAGGTTAAATTTGGTTTTTGTTAAATGGTGCCTTTACATAATAATAATTATATTTTCAGTGGCACGAATGCTTAACTTTGCATGAAAAAGAAATTAAAAAATTGGAAAGAAAATACTACAGCTGTGAAGCGGATTGTTTGACGGTTGCCAGCGGAGCCAACCATGCCGAGAAACAGGCTGTCCATCAGATTGGCAAAGAGGTACCTACATATTGAATTATAAAATTACGAAGCCGACGCAAAAAGAAACTTAAAAATGTAATAAATATGGTTTTAGATAAGAAAATGGCGGAAAAGCTATCGATATCTCGCGAATCAGTGTCACGATGATAACCCAAGAAGTGATGACGCAGCGGGACTGTGTCTAGTGGAATACGTATGTATCCTACTTCAATAAAATTCTCTATTGGGTTCGAAATTACGTATAATTAGAGAAAATCTCTGCTCAAAAAACGACGCCGTAATGTCAGGGCGGGCGCAGCGCAGCCTGTTATATAGCGCCTATAGAGGGCACACAGGGAGAAGAGAAAGCGGCTCGTGATTGGTGCAAGGCTCAAAATGGATTCTAGATGACGCTAACGGAAGATAATGTTTTTTTATTTATAAAAAACTATTCTAGACTGCATATTGACGTTTAAATCAAGCTGATACATATGATAATTATAATAATTGTAAGCGAGCGTTCATCTGAGTCAAAACGGACAGAGAAGGCCATAGATTTTTTTTTCAAACCTGTTATGACATGGACAACATTTGTCACGACAAAATTAAAAATAGAATCAATGGATTTACAAAGTATACAATAAATAATACATCTTGTTTCATTCCAGGTGCAACGTGACCGCTACGATTTAACAATACAGAGGCTAATAAGCTTAAAGCAAAAGAGCGTAGCCGATTTGTATACAAAAATGGCCTATACGTTACACAATTTGGAATACAGTCTTAAAGCGTGCCTATCTCAATATTTAGAAAATGTACGCAATACAATGGATATATTAAATGTCTGTTATAATATTAAGAATAAAATGCTTACTACTTGACATTATATTTTTATTATTAAACTAAATATTTGAAATTTAAAATGATGAGAGATGTATTTTTTTTTAATAAACTATGTTGAAATATAACTCAAGACCAAAAACTATAAATGGCGAATTGTAACTCGAAGAAGACTAGAACTCTTCTGCAGATTTTTGAATTGATGTGTGTTTTAATCATTAACAGACCTTGTTGGCGCCATTAAAACAACAATTTAAAATAATTATTTATTATAAAATTTCGAAGTCGTCAAATACTTTCGTTGTAGGTACAAAAATACGTATATATTTTTCATTACAATATAATAAAAATTACTTACATAAAACTTTGTACAATTATATGTTATTTATATGACACAAATATTGAACATATTGATTTTCGTTAAGATTGAGTTAATTAACAAGCAGCGGCTTTTCAGCCCTCAGTGCAAGCTGATACTTTAATTAAAATTCCCCCGGATTCGAAGCCAGGACATCTATGTTTTGGGTCATCATGAAAATTTTTACAATAATACAAAACTTAAATTATAACGAATAATGTGGCTAAGCTTAGATTATAAAATAATTATATCACAAAAAATTTCAGATCTAAAAAAAATACAAAAGGTAAAAAATATAGTATGATCGTAGTTTACGAAAGTGAAATTTAAATATAACACTTTTAACTGTATTTAACGCGAAATATATTTGTTAACTCATTTCAACTAGTTCTCTTGTGGCCACAGCTGCTGCACGGCATAAGAAACGTCAGTTCGTTATCAATAAGTTCACTAATATATTTTCCGTTTAAAACAGTAAAAAATATGCCACATGGCAACAATTCCTATCAAAAATAGACAGTATCGTTATAACAATACCGTTAAATTTACTTATTTACAAAAAACACTGAACGTTGTCAATGTGTTACCGGTAACTTACGATTTTTCAGGGTTTTAATACTTTTTAGGAATCGGAAAGTAACACATCGCCAACATGCATTATATAAACTATATATACAACATTACTATACGAACTACTAATTTATATGTCTTATGTGGAATTTCTACTACAATACAAATGGACGAATGGTCGCTTCGCCCCCCAGGCCGCCCATTTTCGCGTCTAGGCTAGGCTTGTAGCAATCCAAGGTAATGTAGGGAATGACAAGAAAAATAAAAGCTGGGGAGGGGAGTTAAGTCAGTACTGTACCAATAAGCTGTATCGGTATACTGGACTGGACTGTACCTATTGTTCCCAGATTAACAACCCTTAAATTAACAGCATATAAGTCCCAGTAAGATAACAAGCATAGGTAAACTCTTCTCGATAGTCTTAGTCTTTATCTTGGACCCAGTACTGAAGAAGTATTGTTTGAATACTTCTAGAGTAGACTAGAATTCGTTAGTCTATAATTTTTAAATATTCTCGAGTATCATAGTGGACCTAAACCGGCTGGCCTCGGCGGTGGTTCAGGTGTATCCGCAGTTGGTGGCTTGAATGTGCTTCCCTGAAATATTAGAACGAGATGTTAAAATTTTGCACGTCATACTTCACAGATACCTTAAATAAAAAGTATTTGCATGCAGCTGTCGACTTTTATCTCTAACACAACGTGCTAAGGTTGAACATTCATTTGCTTAATAATTCAAATGAATTACTCTAATGTGTAATTATGAAACAGTAAATAAATAATTAGTGATCACGTGATGGATTGGTACCTGAGTTATTGTCTTAAAAGACATTGCAAGTATTTGAGCTCAAATTATACAGTCAATGTGAAATCTTAGTATAATTATTTACCTGGAAACCCAGGGCAGCTTCTAACGGGGTCGGTGACTCTCTTCCGAGAGTAGCATAGTCTCCAAATCGCTCCCCGCGAGCGCCGCCTTGAATAGTCGCGTATGTGTTGTCGGTTTGCTGAAAAATTGAAAGAACTTTACAAGAACTGCCAAACATTAATTTATTAAGACTATTTTTAAATTCTGGTCAAGAATCTACCTGAGGCTGCTCATTGGAGCTCTCGTTCTGGTCTCCGAATACATTCATGGTTAGTTCCTGCTCCTCGTACGGCCTTAGCTTGGTCTCCAGCCACAGGGGGTTCTCTGTCGTACTTAATTCTTCGAGAATCCTTCTTCGTGCCAAACTATCTCCTTTACTTGATTGGAGGGATGGTGGAGGAATTACCCTAGATTTAAGATACATTTCGTACTATTATAAATTATTATTATTTTCTATTGGGGACACCGATAGAAGACCGAGTGATCAGTCCACACTATCAGCTGACAATTTCATTTATTTTACCATTTTCCCCTTGAAGAGGACGTAGCGTTATCCATCTATCATGTAAAATAAGACTGGAATTTTATATAGCAGAAAAAAATATTTAAGTAGACTGTTTAATACTGCATAGACCCAAGAATATTATGAAAAAGTTTGATGATATTATAAAGTAATATATTTCGTACCAATGTTTAAGGCAGGCGCATACGACAACGAATGTGACAATTCCCGTAAACAGTACTATCAGCAGAGCTATCAGTGTTGCCAACGCTGGATCGAAACTGTCAGGAACTGGAAAACACAAAATAGTCTATTAGATATATTACTTTGTCAAGAAAATAGTTATGATTTTGATAATATAGAGCGGAGATTGGAACAACTTTACGATTCCTAGTTTATGTTAAAAGAAAGAAAATTCAACAATAAATATTACTAATTCTTTTTTCATGAACTACGTTATTTAATTGTTTATCGGTTGGTCATTCACTTATACTGTTAACTAAAAAAGGTAAGCCAAGTCTGTAAAATAAAACTACTAAAAAAAGATTGGCGGCAAGTTTCTGGCCAAGTCTCTCGTTCGTTTGGAAATGGTGTGATGGTTCATAAGAGTACCTACGTGAATCAATGTTTTTTTTTACTTTGACTTGACTTACAGAGTAGAAATCTTTAGTTAGTAACCTTTAGAAGTAGCGCTGGCCGCAATGAGAGTCTCCACTCCAAACTGTTGGTAGACATCCTTTAACTCGTCATATTTCGAGTCGATGCTCTCGAGGACCTTTTCGACTGGCAGCACTTGCCAGGACACTGGTTCTACCGCATGTAAGTGAATCTCACACCTACATTATGGAATTTTTGTGTTCAGTTACTCGTAAATAGGGCCATTAAAATAGAACCGATTATTACTTTTTGAATATTGAGATAAAGGAAAATGGAAATGAAATGAAACACTTTTCATCGGCTTTAAATCGGCGAAATATATTAGTTAACTTTTAATTTATATTTTATCTATGGCCCGACGTTTCACTGGCGTTGCTTTGCAGCATCTGTGACCACAGCTTAAAGGGATACAAAGTGTTTTATTTTTATAATGATGTGTTTTAAACGTTCAAAAGAGGGAACATTAGACAACACTTGACATCTCAATTGCTTTAGGATGTTTAGAACATAAAACCGAAACTACGTATAATACTAACTGTCTGTTTAAAACGTGTATTTACCAATCATCCAGTCTCCTATCAGCCTGCACAAGGGGCACCCGCCTATCGGCGACCAGAAGTGCACCTCCGGCTTCTCCTAATCTCCGTTCAACGCCATCTACCGGCGTGGAGCAGCTCCGAGACACCACCATGCGAATGAGGGAGGACCGGTCAATTATCCATAGCTGAAAAACATTTACAAGTTCAAAGGTTAATGGGCCACTTTATATAAGGGAAATATATATACGATTTTATTAACTTCTCTAATTTTAATTACGGATATTTAAGGACTATTTCTTCGTACTGTTGTACAGTTTTTTTTTTGTGTCAGTTCAGTGGTTCTAATTCTCTTCATGTTCTGACAGGGCCAATTTAGTCGATAACTATAATAAAATCGCGTTGCCACCACCGCCGTATATACCACCCAACATATATAAATTAATATTCACTTACATAAACTTGAGTTTTGGCTTGCCTGTGTGGAGGGGCCAACTCTTGAGCAATGATGTCCAGAACGAACCTGTCTTGGTTGTACTCGGACATAAAATGGGCTGTCATTAATATACCTGTAAATAGATACATTTTATTAGATCGGGTCCTTTATTCGCAGAACGTGCAAAAAATGAGGCAACCGATGCAAGCGATGTCATTTAGATTTTATTACCTGAAATTCTATAACTCGAACAAACAAAACTATTATGAGATTGCGTTTTAATAAACTTAACTAAAAACTAAATATATCAAGAATGTACGATAAAATAAGTTACTGTCTGTGTTTACAGTACGAGTAGTGTTTCTGGTAGCGTATTGTATAGTGTTAAGTACATCTCTTACGAACCATTTTCAGACGGTATAAAAAACAGGACGATTCAAAAAATCTTAATAGTAAATAATTAAAATTGCAGAAATAAATAGATACTAGTTCAATAAAATAGTCTGAGTGTTTAAGTGTTAAAATAGAAGATGCATACATATAAACAATTACTGTTAGTTTCAATGTTATCGGATAAAAATGATTATTACCATCCTGAGTGATATTGAATGGCGAAGGAACCACGCTGCCACTGGACTGTGAAGCTCCGAACTTGTAGAGGTTTGAGGCGGCTACCATGTAGATCAAGGTTCCGTTCTCATCGAGATCTGGATCTTCAGCTAGTACGGAGATGATCGGTTCGTTGATGCGGGCTGTGTGCTTTATACCTGTTGAGAAATCTTTATTACCTGTCAGATTTTTAAGGTGAAGACCAATCTAACATTTTGTTATTTTTTAAACAATATGTTATACCTCTAGTAGTACAATCTAAGAACTCTACCTGCATAGTAAACTTTTTTCTGGAACTTAGGTTCATTGTCGTTCACGTCTAGTATCTTCACTCGGACGACCGTGACACTGGCTTCTTGGCTATCCGTGCTGTTGTCGATGGAATTCAAGATGGCAGCCGCATGTTCGAGTATTGGGTTGTTGCTGGCGTATATTGTCATGGTGTATTCGTCCCGTTTTTCCCTACAAGAAGTCACTTTATATTCTTTTTGATCTTTTAAATAGCAATTACTTTTTGTAAGTTATTTTCTCTTCATATTCAATACAAACCTGTCAAAACTGATATTAGCTCTGATTATCCCTTGTGTTCTATCTACAGTGAAAGCGCCATCTCCATTCCCTTCCAAAACGTGATAAAACACTCTTCCATTTTCGCCAGAATCTTTATCTATGGCTTTTACAGATCCTGTAATTATTGTCTTTGTTAATTCTTAATAATTTTTAATGTCAAATAATTATCAAAATTATGGTACTTCGAGACAAATACCCGAAATCCGCATTAGAAAATGCTTACCGATAATAATTCCAGCTGGTAAGTTCTCTGCCACCGCGAATGAATGTAAGGGCATTTGAAAAACTGGTGCGTTATCTTCGTCGTCCACTAATACAACTGTGATAACTCGAAGTGTTTCGAATTGAGCTGGAGTACCATTATCCACCGCTGCTATTACTAACTGAAATTGATTGATATATATTAATTTAAAAAAGAAAGAAAAAGAAAAGACAGTAAAGACAACTACGTACCTCATATTCAGGTTGATGTTCTCTATCCAGAAAAGTTTTAGTTCTTAGCTGTCCCGTGTTTGTGTCCAGGCTGAATTCAGGAGTCTCCATCACGTTTTTGTTATCTACCTTCAAGTAATAAGACACACGGCCATTTTCTCCGGAATCGGCGTCTGTCGCTTTGAACGTAGCTATTAAATAGTCCGCTTGAGCTACATTCTGTAACAGGCAAATATACATATTTAATGTAGAGAAATATGTTAGTACCATGCCTAGATTTCCTAGAAAATGATTTTTAACTTCGGCCCGACGTTTCGGATACTTTGCAGCGACGGTCACGGGGAGACTAAGTTAAAAATCATTTTCAAATTAGTTTAACTAAAATATCGCGTTTTAAACCGTTAAAGGGTTTACTTATTTATATGTGTGAAGCAAACAATATGTATTAAGCACTCACTTCCGAAATTTCGATAGTTCTCTGTTCGGGAGGCGGTTCTACAAACACCGGCGTATGCCTATTAACGCTCAGCACAAATATGTCCACTTTAGCAGTGTCCTGGAACCCTTGTCCATCGTGGTCACTTGCAGTCACAGTAAGGGAGTATGTAGTGTTGCCAGTCACTGGTTTAGATGGATAAAGGATTCCGCTAGTTGGATCCACAGAAAAGGTAACTGAAAATACAATATTTTAAGTCATATATAACAGTAAAAGCAAAAGCTTAGTAACCTAATACATTTTGAATGCGAGAATAGTTTTAGGCGGAAGATGGCGCCACGATTGCGACCGGCTTTGGTGTATTAAACTTTTCATAGACTACTATTATAACATTGTATTAATAAATAAGCCTACATAAAACTCCTTTTACTTATCGCACGTGCAAAAGTATATAAGAATTGTTCTTATTAATTACCTGGTACGCTCTGCTCCAAAATTTGATAAACGACCTTCCCATTGATACCAACATCTCTATCTTCAGCCAAGACTTGTAGAATGGCCGCCGGAGGATTAAGTTGAAGGTTTTCGGCTATGGTGCTTTTGTATACCTTCTGCGAGAAGACTGGAGGATTGTCGTTGATATCATTTATCTTTATGTGCACCTGAAAACGAAATAAATGTAAAGAGTAATATCTTGACTAGAAATAATGATCGCACTTAGAAACCGCTACAACTAAATAAATAATAGGGTCCGACATAAAGTTTAGTTCTACGAGCTGGTTGCTCAATTTTAATGACTGACTTACTTACGTAGTAATTTGTTAAATAAAACATTATTTTACAATTAATAAACTATGAGTAAACATATAAGCTGAATACTGAACGTAAGACTTTGTTCACGGTTTTACGGCCTTTGCATATCACAATTTTTTTTTCGTATTCGAAAGAAGCAAATAATTATTCATCCTCACTGGAACTAATAATAGTATTTCGACGCTTACAGAGACACTAGAAGATTTGCTAAGATGTGGCGGCGCCAAGTCGGTGGCTACTGCTCTTAGAGTCACTCCAGTCACTGACTCGCGGTCAATGTTATCAGCCACGCTGATAACTCCTGTTCTTGGGTCGATGTTGAAGTACGGGGATTGTTCACCGGCTAGGCTGTAGCGAATTTGGCCAAATTCACCTGAAAATCAAAAAGTATCATAAATCAGTTGTGTATATATTTTTTTTAAGGGCCTGTTATTAAATGGCGATGTTTGGCTACTAATAAATAAGTCATGGGTTAGATCTCCGAAATATGTTGGCTGACAAGCAGGTGGTATAAATATCGATATTCCGTCCGAGTTACGAACCACCGTCCACATATCCGCCATCCGTATAAGCCGTCAATTTTAATCACGTTTCGGCTTCAGTCTGTGGATTTCTGAATATCCAAAACTAAAAGTGGACAGTGCTCTATGCTTAGATGTTATGTGATTGGCGTATTTCAACTACCATGAAGTATTTGTCGGTTTTCCTCTATCATAAAAAATTACCATATCTACATTTTTATTATGGCATACCTTCGTCTTTATCAATTGCTCGAACAGTGAGTACACTGGTACCCACCACACTGTGCTCATTTACGCTTCCCTCGTACACCTCTTGGTCGAAAATAGGTTCTTCATCATTGACGTTAACGACTTCGACGAAAACACCGGCCGACGTCGACAACTGCGGTACTCCAGAGTCAAACGCGACGAGCGTGAAGTTAATTTTGTGGATTTGTTCGTAGTCGATGCGTTGGATTGATTTTACGACACCTGGGGAAAATATTTCATGTTGGTTTATGATAAATTAGATTCAAACACTTAGTTATAGCAATTATAAGAGCACTTAAGAAATTAAAAACAATAGCAATAAGTTTAGTATTTTCTGTAGTTTACACCAGTAAAACACATAACGGTTTTAAACGCGAAGTATAGTAGTCCACTTATTTTAAATATATTTTAATTACGACACGTCAGCTTTACAGGCAAAACGATGCGTCCAAAACTAAACAACTGGAGATATGGAGAATGTCCCTAAAATCAGAGTCAAATCTGCAATGCCAGCGCCACCCGTTCAACAATACAATAACGAATATATTTCTCGTTTTGAACGATAAATAGTATAAATGTAGGCATTAAAAATAAAACTACTCATACGGAAATACTTACCAGTAACATTATCTATAGCGAAATAAGGACTAGGCGGGTAAATAATTATGGCGGAGATAGGTGTCTCTTTGTCTGTGGCTGTGTAAGTATTGAGTACGGTTCCAATTGCTTGTTCTTCCAACACCCGTTCTGTGTAAGCCGGTTGAGTGAAGACGGGTGCGTGGCGGTTGACATCCACTATGTTTATTATTAGTTCACCTGAAAGTAGAAAATTAGGATGTCATAAATCTTATAATCTATTAAAAAGAATGGCGAAGTTACTATTTTTTAATTTAGTGCTTGTCTGAGAACATATTTAAATGGCATTTATAATTGTTAAACAATAACAATTCTATATTTATAAAGGACTGTCTTTTAATATACCTTCTTAGAAGATAATGGCCATACAATAAAAATTGTAGTAGATATCCAAACTACACGTGAGATACATTACCTTCAGTTTTTTGAAGATTCGGCGCTGATGAGTCGGTGACTGCAACAGGTAGCGTCACCACAGCAGCTATCTCTCGATTTAATGGTTGTGCTACGACCACGCTACCATTGGACAATATTTTGAACCAGGATGTTAATATAACTTCGTCGGTTAACTGCAAATTTTAACAGCATTTGTTATATTAAATTTCACTAAACATTAATGTCAGACAAATGCTTATTTTGGGTATAGCGCCATCCATTCATTGATTATACTAACAGTTTAATAAATTAATTGTTGTATTTCAGTAATTTATTGAATTACTTGGTATTATCACTTATTTATAAAGCTGAATAGTTTGTATGTATGTTTGAACGCGCATAGAGCATTTATCAAGTCTATAGGAATAACACATCCCGTGGTAACTAATAGGGGCGAAGAAATAACGGAAAATATGAAAAAAAAACGGGAAAAATTATTCATAGAGAATTATTAAGGGATTTCCAATCCGTACGCTGCGAAAACAGTTACCCAATAAATATTTCTCTTTAAAGAAACTAAAAAAATGTCCGCGAAACTGTATGTCGATCTTTAAAATTAGCTTGCAAGATCGACAGGACGCGACCGACGTCGTGAGTAACAGCTTAATTTCATAAAGATACGGAGGTTTGCAAATTCTACGCGGACGAAGGTTCGCTGACACAGCGAGTTATGCATATTTTTACTGTGCCTACCACAAAATTTCCAACCCGAAGTCAAAAAAGTTTTAAATGGATTTCAAACTGGTTAGGAAAATGTTAGACCCAGAAGGGATCAAATCCACGACAAATTGATTACTGACCATAAATTGCTACCAACGAGTACGTCAAATGATATTACCTCCATCCCATTTTTATCGACAGCTCGAACCGGTTTATCCCCCAATTCGAAAACTAGCTGCGTATTGTCTGTGATATCTGGATCGACTGCTATCAAATTATGAACCAAAGTGCCAATATCTGCATCGGCGGACACCTCCGCCCTTTGTATGGGAGGTGTGAAGTATGGCTTCTTGTCGTTCACATTGATTACGCGTACTGTAAGTTCTGTCGTTCCGGTTAGGCTTGGAATACCTGGATAAGCAGTGTGAATTATTATTAAGCTTGAAATATTAATAATTCGTTTTCAGACACTAAAAATACCTCAAAAACCTATGTATCTTCGCAAAATGGCCGCAAAAGCCAAACAAGTTAATGCTCAAATACCATTGTATATTAAAAATACAAGATTTATCATACCTTCCTACTTAAATAGAAACAAAAATAATTAAATTTCAATTGATTTAATATATATAAACTAACCCTACGGACAGCGCATAGCGTGATGCGACAAAATTAGTGTTTTTCAATACTGAACTTAGCAACAAATAAGTAATTTGCTAGATATTCGACTATCTAGCGCACTCTGGTGACTAATAGCAAAATTAAACTCACCCATATCCGTAGCAACAATCTGTATTCTGTACGTATTCCGCTTGTCATAGTCGAGCTTATCAGCTACATAGAGTACGCCCGTCACGTTATCGAGCTGGAACGCATCCAACGCTCCCTTCTGAATCTTATACTTGATCTCAGAGTTGACACCGCTGTCTAAATCCGTGGCATGCACAATGGCTACTTCGGTTCCTATTTAACCAAGTATTTATTATTAGTCTTTCTAATCTATATCTCTTTTTGAGGCAAACGATGGCACTCCCACGCTTGTTTTCCCTAATCAATCCCCCTACCAATCCACCACTCCATTGGCTAACGGAAATTGGATAAGTCGGTTTCCGCTTTCAGTAGATTTAACAACTGTTTACTGAATTAATTCGTAACATTATTAAATTAAGAAAAATTATTATTTTAAATTAACGTCAATTAATTTACTCTTTGCGCTGATTAATAAAAACACAAAATCATATAACCCTAACATTAGATTTTCATTTTTTGATATTTCAGATCATAACTCACCAATTGCCGCATCTTCAGTAATATCAGCGTCGTATCTGCCAGTATCAAAGACCGGGGCGTGGTTGTTGACATCTCGGACTGTGATCTCTACTTTGCAAGTAGCGTTGTAAATGCCATCAGTGGCCTGAAAAAATAAGTCATAATTAATTATATTTTGTATTTGAGTCGTCTTTTAAATCTAGCTTTATTTATTTGTGTAATATTTAACTAAAATAATCACAAAAAACTGATACTGAAATACAATACTTTTAACGGTTTTAAACGCAAAATGTATTAGTTTACTTGGAAAATATTTAACTACGAGCCGACGTATAAGTGCTTTAATTAAATGTACTACTCGCGTAAACTACAGTCAATACTTAAAAGCAAATATAAACAATATAATTAATTACTATTATATATTTGCCACCTTTTCTTTCTTCCTTTCTTATGTGCACAGTTGAAAAAGCCAAGAAAATATAAAAAATGCTTACAAGTACTGTAAGTATAATTTTATTGTCGCCCGTGGAGTGAACGCCGCCGGTTTCTGGTCGAACCAGAATCCTCCCCGATACAGGATCTATCCAGAACGGATGATCTAAAGGTTCTACGATGGAGTAACGGATATCTGATGTTGTATCGGGATCACGGGCTTGCACCTGGAACAACAAAATGTGGTAAAATTGCGTTTCGAATATTATTGAATTATAGCTCTGTCATTACATTTCGTTAAATGGGACTTTAAAAATTATTTCTCTTAAAACTATCGTTTTTGTTAACACAGTACACTTAAATCTTCTGACGACTTCTAATATTAATTACATAATACATAATAAATAAAAAATTAAAGTTCGACCATGACGTGTAGGACACGGTAGCTCAATCGGTTAGAATAACAACAGCACAAAACGCTGTGGATGCCCGGTTCATGTCGTGCCCGTGTCGTAAAACGTTTTCAAGTTCAAGTTTTCAAACATTCTAATATCCATAAAGTAATGACATGCAGTAGGGATAACTAAAATACGAAGTTATACCTGCAATTCGGGCTCAAATTTCAGTGCATCTTCATCAATGGAGGCTCGATAAACTGGCGTCAAGAAGGCCGGTGGGTTGTCGTTAGAGTCCGTTACTGAGATGTGTAGTGACACTACCGTCATTTGACCCGCGCCATCGTCATCAGTCGCCTGAAAGAAGTAGATAAATATATGTAGCAAATACAGTTTGTTTGTATATACCTTTTATATCAGTAATTTACAACAAAAACACAGGTGTTCTGTTAACATCGCAGAATATAACTGAGGATCACCCTCCATAAAATAAAGGAAAAAAGTGATACCTTATATTGCAAAAAGTAGTCCTTTCTCGTCTCATAGTCAAGGCATGGTGGGGTCCCAGGCGTGAGACAAGATGCAACGGTGATAACCCCGCTTCTGTTGTCTACACGAAATAGTTCAGCCCCGTTCCCGGACAGCTGGTATACTATTCCCTCAGTACCATATCTGAAATATTTTGACGAGGCTTTAGTAAGTAAATATATAATGGATATGTTGTCTTGTCTGTCGTCTTCTAGTCTAGGAACTACACGTATACTTTTTTATTACGGAAAAGGACCGACAAATATGAGATTTACTCGGTGAATGATGAATTACTACTATTTAACATCTGGGATGCTTTTGATCTATTTTGCATTCGAAAATTCAAACGGAAAGGACTTCAACCGAAACTCGATTACAATTGGCGGGCTAATCGGTCTAACGGTAGCAATGTGGCTTATAATCAAAGGGTCGTGCGTTCATTCCGCATCGGGTCCAAAAAGTTATTAATTTTTCAATTTTTAATTTTCCTGAGACATGTTGAACTTCGTCTGGAAACTTGGATATTAAATGGGTGGTAGAAATATCTAAATTCGGTCGGGGTCCCACCATCCACAGATGTAAAAGCCGTTAATTTTAATCGTGTTTCGGCTTCTCTCTGTATATTACCGAATATTCAAAGTCAAAATAGATCGATAGCGCAGCTTGTTTACACGTTATATGACTTAGATATTTCACCTCCCATCAAGGGAACCCCATTATTGCGTCCTCCTTACCTTCCCGTGTCTCTGTCGGTAGCCCGGATAGCCACCACCCTTGTCCCGGGGGGCAGCACCCTCTGCCACACTACCGGAATAGGGCTGCTCTGCAAACTGCGGCGCATTGTCGTTCACATCCGTCAACGATATCGTCACACTTGCTTTTGACGAGAGACGAGGAGATGTATGGAGTTCTTCAGCTATTACCTGTATAAGAAATATTTTGTACTGTCGTAATTTAAGTTAAACTAAGTACAAAGAGTAGTATATAATTAAAATCGATTTTGCTTGTTGATATATGGGTTTATTTGTTCAGAGAGCTTTGCCAAAAAAAAAATGTCGATAACTCATTCAATATATTTCTAAATATGATACATTTTATAGTAAATCCTGCCCTAAGAGCGACTGCAAAGCATCCGGAACGTCGGGTCATAGTTTAAAATAAGTTAAATATATTTTATTCAAATACTTTTTAAATAACTGACTATCTCTCTCTCTCGGTGTCCTATTGTTTTTCGGTATAGCGTTAGTTAAATATTATTTATTGAAATGTATTCGATGTAATCTCGATGTGTATCTACTCTCGTAAACTATAGACGATGCTTGTATCGTTGTTGTATGATACGTATGTATGGTATTTACATTTGATTATAGGTTTCTAGCAATTACAATGGTAAAAAGTACCTCGAGGATAAACTTCCTCTGATTAGGATCTTCGTAGTCCAGAGTGGAGTTCAACCTCAGAGTGACCGTTGCACTGCCGGTCGCAGTACTTGGCTCCACGACGAACGCGCCCAGATCGTCTGATAGTCGCAAACTGAACACTGAATTCAGACCCTGGAATAATTACAAAAAGGTATAATGAAAGAGACGATACATTATTATACATAAGTATTTATAAATTATTCCTATAAGCAATAAACTACTTATTTTACAAGTTTCGATAAAATTAATCAAAGAGCGTGTTGATATATATTTAAACAAATCTAAAATACTGTCTGTGGCGCGGTTATGTCATTTTTAAACATCTAAAAACGATTTTTAATTTGCATCCGTTTTCTACGAATTGACACAGACGTTATTGAAAGTAACTTATTTTGTTTATCAGCAGGTAAAACAAAAAAAAACACATAATATTCTTCTGTGACGTAAAAATAATAACAATCCTGATTAGACAGTCAATTATAAAATGATGATGATACTAAAAAAATATAATATATCTAACTCAAAGGTATTGCATTGTATGAGACCTTTTTTTTAAATCTTTCTTTTAAATTATTCTTAAAACTTCAAATATACTCACAACATCAGTATCAGTAACAACCATGTCCAAGTTGGGGAGGGGTGTCCCGATGGGTAAACTCTCCGGTATTTCCACACTGTACTCTCTCTTGTTGAAGCGAGGTGGTTCATCGTTTACGTCCTTGATCGTCACTGTCACTGTTGCCAGGCTGGAAGTCAGGTTCGATACCACCGGTATGCCGTTTACTATTTCACTTGCCTGAAAAAGTAAAAATTAAATCTAAAATAATAACACCTTTCGAGAGGGATATATATAATTTTATATTTAATTAGAGAATTAAAATACTGTCTGTGGTTTACGCGAGTAGTATAGATAAATAAAACATTCTTAAACAGTTAAACAATTGTATGCCACTCTATTGTTAATATTAATGTTAATTGTTTCCCTAGAATTTAAGACATTGAGACTGACCCGAACTGTGAGGTTAAGCGGTGATGATGGGTCCGCCAAAGCCTCTCTATCCAACGGTTTGGCTGTCTTGAGTTCTCCTGTCTTACTATCGAGCCAGAAGAAGTCCAATGGGTCTGTTAAATGGAAAAAATTCAAAATGAGTATAAATATATGGGTTATTATGGTGTTATCTCGACACAGAACTCATGTTCAGTTACGTTTGTATTTAGGAACCGATAATACTGTACTGTACTTTACCGATAATGGGGGGGGAAAAAAAAAAAAAAAAAAACCCCCCCCCCCCCCCCCCCAAAAACCCCCCCCCAAAAAAAAAAAAAAAAAAAAAAAAAAAAAAAAAAAAAAAAAAAAAAAAAAAAAAAAAAAAAAAAAAAAACCCAGGGGGCCCCCCCCCCCAAAAAAAAAAAAAAAAAAAAAAAAAGGGGGGGGGTTTAAAAGGGCCCCCTTGGAAACCCAAAAAAATTTTTTTAAAAAAGGGGGGGGGGGGGGGAAAAAAAAAGAAAGGGGGGCGGCCCCCTCCCCCCCCGGGGGGGGGAAAAAATTCCCCCCCAAAAAAGGGGGGTGGGGGGAAACTTTTTTTTTAAAAAAAATTACAACCTTTTTTAATCCCTTTTGGGGAAAAAAAAATTTTTTTTTTGGTTTTTTTCGGCAAACCCCCGAAAAGGCCGACTGATGTAGACGGTACTTTGCCTGTAAAACAATATAATCTTCATTGCATCTCTCCTGTAGTCATGTATATAACCAGAGCTTTACTCACTCGTTATCAGTTCAAGTGCCACATCTCTGGGCTGAGCGCGATCAGCATCTCTGGCCTTGATGACCAAGGCAACGCTGCCAACTGGCGCGTCTTCAGATAGACTGCCGCTTAATGACCCGCTAAATACAGGCGGACTGTTTTGGACGTCCACCACTTTGACTTCAACTGGGACTGTTGAATTTAGTGTGCCATCCTGAAAAGTTTGATGTATAAAAGAATTTAATTCACTACTTATAAAAATAATTGAAGTGACCGCCACTGCAGCTATATGTTTAAACATATTGTCTAGTAGTCCTGTGTTCCTGGGGGGTTCGAATCCTGGGGTAACAATAGATTGTTTTGTGTCAGGCTCTGACCAACTATGTGCTTATTAATAGAACCAATCCATACAGAATACATAAAAATACGCTTAGATGACTTGAACTATAAAAGCTTTTTATTTACTAATTATTTTTAATATTTCTTTCGTCTAATCATAAAAATTACAGAGAAACTATGTATCGGTTAATGCATATTTATTATTTCGGTTAATTTGAGATAGAATAGAGATCAAGAGTAACTAGCAAGGAAATTATGTTAGCTATTTTGAAAGCAGCAAAGATACTATTCAAAGATTGTATTCACGAACAGAAACGTACCGTAGCTTGTAATTGAAACTGGTAGAATTGCTTCTCGTTGTAGTCCAATTGCTTTCGTAACACCAACGCTCCTAAATACTGGTTGGCTGAAGACTGCAGGCTGACTACGTCGAAATAATCACAGGCTTCGGGCCACTGCAAAGTGATCAAACCATTTATAAATACTTATTAATTGCACTTTTACGTAAATTATTTGTTTAAAGTCTTATACCTGTTCATTAACAACACAGCCAACTTCAAGACTGTCCCCAACCGAATCTTGATCCTCCACTTGAATGTTCCGAAGAATTGTTGTGCCAACGGCTTGGTCTTCTGGTACATCTACTTCGTAAGGACTCTGGGTGCGAAAATATAAATAAAAAATACACAATAAGTAACGACAGGCTTATTAGCGTAATGGTTGCAATATATGGCATAAAATCAACGGGTCGATTTATATTTTTTCAATGAAATATGTCAGACTTCGTCTGAAAATCTGGATAAATGTTGGGCATGTCGAAATTCCGGTCGGGTTACGAACCACCGTGTACAGGTGGAAAAACCGTGAAATTAAATCGCGTTTCGGGTTCAATCTATGTATTTCCGAATATCCATAGCCTAATAGGCCACTAGCGCATCTTATTTAGATTATATGTATTTGGATGTTTCAACTTTCTTGCTTTGTGTCCTTCTCTTTCATAAAAAAATTAAGTTATTTGTAATAAAATATTATTAATTGCGAAGTTATTTTTGTATCATCTTTATATATCTAATATATTCACTTACATTTTTGAAAACTGGCGGATTGTCGTTTTCGTCCAGCACAATGACTGTAACTGGCTGTGTCTGGACCAGGTTAATGGCAGCGTCTGGGTCTAGACTTTCTATAACGACTAGGAACTTAATCGTATCTTCTTTCTGCATAAGTTAAAAATACATATAAATAACATATAAGTAAACTCATAAAACTAAACAATTCTTATACAAATACTGTCTGTAGTTTACGCGAGTAGTACACATTTAAATAAAACTCTTTAACGGTTTAAAACGCGATATATTAGTTAAACTTATTTGAAAATGATTTTTAACTAATATATCGCGTTTTAAACCGTTAAAGTGTTTTAGTTAAATTCTTATACACATTCCTTAGAAGACTATTATTTAATATATCACTAGAATATAACAATAATATTATCAAATTCCATACAGAAATAGTTATTTAAACTGAACATCAATTGAATAGCTTTGTTTAAATATGACAATAGTCAATAACAAATCTATAAGATCGCCTATATATTATGTAAGTTGGTTAAAAAACAAGTGTACCTACCTTGAAATACAACACTTAAAACGGTTTAAAGCGTAAATGTTTCGAATGCAATGCGGCATCCGTGGCCACCGGATTAAAAGTATTATATTTAAATGTACACTATTTGAGTACTCAACATTACTACATTACTAAATTGGCTTACCTCTCTATCCAAAGGTTGTACTAGAGTAACATCTCCGGTTTTTGTGTTGACTGTAAACTTATCCGTCCCCACGAGCCCGTATTTTATCTGTGGAAAGCATTATATATTTATTATAAACTAATTCATACCTCTAAGTTTATACTTACTTCACTCACTAATATCGTGTCTTAAAGAAGAAAATTATACGTAATCGCTTTTCATAGAACCCACGCAAGTACAATGACCTTAAAATAGCAGCAACTTACTGGTAACCCCTCAGGATCTGAGCCCACCAGTGTGTAGACCACTTCTCCTACAGGCGTACTCTCTGATAACGCCAGGTTGTCCATATCCTGAATGAATACTGGTAGACCCTTCATATAACCTGAAAAAGGGAGGATTTTTCTATGATTTATTCTTTATATTTTTTGGTAGTTACTATTTTGTACACATAATGTATATCAATAATGAATTGCGCGAGAGGTGCATGTATCAGTAGGTTGAAAAAAATCTAAGATTACATGTAGGACACGGTAGCTCAATTGGTTAGAGCAACACGAAACGCTGGGGATGTCGGTTCAAGTCCTGGCCGTGTCATAATTTTTTTCAATTTATAATCGATTTTTAATTTAAATAAATAAATATATATAACTTTTCAATAGCATTTATAACGAGATTCTTCTTAGTAAGTACATACATATACCGTTGTATTTTTTTAGTAAAAATAGCAATGTTGGGACATAAATGGCATAGTTTTTGATCAAAATTCTCGAATGAATGGTTACTTTGTGTGAGTGAGAGTAACGGCAATGTGATAATTGAATTTTCTAGGTCTAACTTCTAACTGATTGAGTTACGTGAATCTCGAGTTTAAATTTTGATTTAGTAATTTAGTGTGTAGGTTAAACTTTTATTAAAATTTAAAAAAATCGATGCCACTCGAGCCTCCTTCCACAGCGATCCGTGCTTCTGTTCTAACCAATTAAGCTACTAAGCACTCCGTGTGCACTTCCGGGATACAGATTAAGTATTAAAATAATTGCGGGATTCGAACCCACGTCAGCACCACCGTCAGGTCTCACAATTGTACCCAAGTCAATAGTCTATTTTCATATTAAAATAGTAATGCCAAGTTAAAACAACAGAACTCTTACCCATCCGGAAACAAAGCAGTGCCCAGAAAGCGAACGGAAGCCATCGCGATGCCATTGTTCTATCTGAAAAAAGTCAATTAACCTTTATAATTAAGCCTCCATTACATCGTAAATTAAGAAAGGGTGCCCGTTTATTGAACGTCTCACGTCTGTTAGTTTTATTGCTGTAAACGGTTTATAATACACAATTGTAACTTTAATGAGAGCATATTTATAACAATCAAGTTCAAAACCACGATTTTAAGTTATACAAAGATGGCGTTTACGAATTAGTCTTTGTGAAAATAGAAATTCGATCTAGAAACAAGAAAGATTACAAAAAAATGCGAGAAAGAAAACAAAACTTTTCCTTTCCCCCTACATTCCTTTGTTCATTGGTTTAACACAAATAATCTTTTGCTAAATGAAAAGAAGACTAAATGCCTTAAGTTTGTAACAACGAACGTTAAATGCAGTAGAAATGATAGTATACAAATAAAAGATGAAGAAATAGGTTTTGTCGAAGATGCTGTGTTTTTGGGTATAACTCTCGATTGTAAACTTCAGTGGGGACCACACATTAAAAATCTTTCGAATAAACTAAGCTCTGCAGCCTTTGCTGTAAAGAAGATACGACAGCTTACTGATGAAAATACAGCCAAGCTTGTCTACTTCAGTTACTTCCATAGTGTAATGTCTTATGGTATCCTTTTGTGGGGCAATGCAGCCGATATTCAAACCATATTTGTTTTGCAGAAACGGGCTATTCGATCGATTTGTGGTCTTTCCCCACGAGAGTCTGTTCGAAATAAGTTTAAAGCATTGAATATCCTAACGTTGGCAAGTCAATATATCTATGAAAATGTTTTATATGTAAGGAAAAACGTAGATACTTTTAAAACAAACGGCAGCTTTCATCAGTACAATACGCGTAATAAGGACAAAATAAGTGTACCAAACAAAAGGCTCCATAAAAGTAGTAGTTCTTTTCAAGGTAACTGCATACGATACTTTAATAAAATCCCCAGCGAAGTGCAAGCACTCTCAATAAATAGGTTTAAATCGTATGTAAAACAAAAATTGCTTGAAAAGGGTTATTATCATGTTAATCAATATTTAAATGACAAAAATGCTTGGGGTGTGGAGGAACCCGCTCTTACAAGGAAAAATATGTTGTGTACTAAAAGTAAATCAAGAATGTAAAATGAAACTTGGCGATAAAAGGAGTGACGGCGAGTTTATTGCCAGTTCTTCTCGTACGTTCTACGCCCTTGATTTGAGAACTGGTAGTAAATGTAAAGTTAGATTCTATAATTATTTTGTGACGTTCATAAGTGTACATAGTTACCTACATGAATAAATGACTTTTGACTTGACTTGACTTGACTTCCAAAATTTTCCTTTAGTTGTTCGGCAGTCTTGTCTCTAAAACGTCTGCAATTACGAGATTATTGACAATAAAACAAAATAAAGTAATCGATACTCTGTTAACATTTACACTCATAATATTTACAATTTACAAGATGTGCGTGCGCAATTCATATATCAAAGGACACCTGCATTATGAGCACTCAAAGGTCCACAATGCCTGTGCAATTGTGAACCATACTCAGGGACCGGATAGAGGTCATTAGATACCGGCATAATGTCAATACCTTCTACATTCCAGAAAGATCCTACATTCCAATTGTGGACATACAGTTGAATACATTACATTATGATATCAATGGTTTTATAGGCAAAGGTCAACTTCATAGAAAGCGCAACTTGAAGTAATTTCCTAAGAAAAAGGATAAATATTAAACTCAAAATTGAAGGATGAATTAAGAAGTAATTATTATGAATCATGTGTAAAATATACAATATCTATACTAATATAATATAAAGCAGCAGAGTTTGTTTGAACGCGCTAATCTAAGGAACTACTGGTTTGAATTGAAAAATTATTTCTGTGTTCGTTAGAGCATTTATTTTTAAATGAATATCCGCGACAGTATATGTCTATCTTTTAAAATTATGTTGCAAGTTGTAAATTTATAGAGTTTAAAAAAGTACTTAAAGAGTAAACAAACTTTGATGGCCACAACCACTATTCTATGTGGACGAAGTCGGTGGCACAGCTAATATAATATGTACTGTGGTACAAGTTATTACTAAATATACATATATTGGGCGCTTGAGTCAAACCCCTATTTTTTTTATTATTTTCGGTGTAAATTAAAACCATATCTCTCAATGTTGGTACTAATTAGTGGCAATTACAAAACACAATTAGTTAAAGGTTCACGGTAATTCATCACAAGGACGGAGTATTAATTGACCCTAAAGGTGAGGGTCAAAACTTGACCCTAATACGACAAAATGTATGCAAAATGCAGAATTAGCTAATGATTTGCATTGGTTATTAGCTGAAAATGTCTTGATTATTTCAATATAACCTCAGGTTAGGCTTGGCTTTTATAGCTGATTATTTTTAGGTATACCAAGCGAAGGTACCGTAGAATGTTTGGAAAAATCAAAATATGCCAACTAACTTAAGTGATATTAATGTATGTAACAAGGCAGATGTATACAAAATGAAACTACTTGTCTATACTAATATATAAAGCTAAAGAGTTTGTTTCTTTGGTTGAACGCGCTAATCTTAAGAACTACGGGTTCAAATTGAAAAACTCTTTTTGTGTTGGTTAGAGCATTTATCGAGGAAGGCTATAGGCTATAAAACAGCGTGCTGTGAAAATACAGCGGGAAATGTGAACAAAACGGGGGAAAATTTTCATCTCTGTGGATTTCAGATGCGTACGCTGCGAAAACGATTCAAGATACCTAAAAAATGCGTATGAAAGAATGATTCTACTTTAAATAATCTAAAAAAATCGCAATCGACGTCGTGGCTAACAGCTTAAGTTTATAAAGATGACGGGGCTTACAAAAACTAATTTGGATGCCCAAAATAACAATTCTCGCGGACGAAGTCGCTGATACAGCTAGTAATGAAATAATTGTTAAAAAATATGCGTATACTTCTTCCTCAAATAAAAAAAGAATAAACACAAACAAAATTTAAACTTATTGAACGATTAAGCATTTAAATAAGAAATCACAATGTTCATGAATTTATATCGTGCTATATAAAAAAGGTAACTTTGATGAATGATGAATAATTTTTTACAAAATTAAAAGTACAGTCGAATTTTGTCAATCTTTATCTACAAAAAGAGAAATCTCCAAAATGAATTGCGCAATTGGCGATTAGCAAATGTCTTAATTGGATAGAAATGGCAAAACGAATCGTTCTCACGACACACTTGCGTCGACAATATGCCTCGGCTGTGTTAGCACGATTTGCATAGTGGACGTGATTCGGTATGAGAAATTCAGATGTTACACTTTGTTAAATGGCACGTACACTACTCTTGGTGGATTAGGCCACAATCGCTATTGTTTATTTCTTTTCTTAAATCTTTATTAAATGGGCTTGCACTTGTCAAGATTATATCGCCCAATGGGACCTAAAATTTACAAATTATAAAACATGGAAATTTTGACACTATGAATATACTAAGATATTTTTTTACTTACAAATTCAGACCACACGCGGGGCATGTCTTCCACAATGCGACAATCTATACAATTAGTTTGTTCGTTTGTTCATATTTAGGTCTACGGTAAGAAGTATGTGTACAAGTTATATCTTTGAGAGTATGTTACAATCTTTGCTGGAGGTATACCACAGAATTATGACTGAAATATGTCTGAACTTTGTCAGTATCAATTCGAGTGATATCATAGTATTTGTGGGTTTTAGAATTCGTATAAGCAAATAAAAACCTTCAGGTCTCCCGTTTGTTTACTCACCTCTTACGAGGCAAAGCTGATACATTACACGCCTTAGGAAGCAATTGCATTTTCTTCTATACGTAACACTATGGATATGACACAACCAGTTTTCTATATCGGCACTGGGAACTGGAATCCACCTGATCGATCGGCTGAGGTTTAAGTGCTTGCGGTGATCTGGATATAATGAGTGATATTCGTACGCGAGATTAATTTTAAGTAAATTTTAAGTAATTTAAGGTTTTTTTTACGATAGAGAGGATAAACAAGCAAGGTAACAATGCCACTTTGAAATTTTAACAAGTTAACATGTCGACCTAATTTTTTGCAAACGAATCCCACCATGAATCGAACCACGACCCGTTATAACGGTTAAAATGGCAAAATAATAAAATTTTTAACAGTTGTTCCATATATTCAGCTTCCCATGAAATTTATCTCAATATGAATATTATTCATTGTCATTATTTTAAAATGATATCTAATTTGTGTCATTTTATTTATGTAGGGTCTATAAATAAAATGACGTCCTAGTATTGTTTATTTAGGACTAATGTTTATTCTACATATTATACTTATGAGAAAATTCTGTCAGATCTTCAAAATGATACGAGCATTATCTATTATAGATATATTACGTATCCTAGTGCCATGGAAAACAGGATTTTATTAATTCTTACACTGTATTTTAAAACGATAAGGGCACACGTAACCACGTAAGAAGTTAAGTCTGAAATGCCTTAGTTTAAATTCAGAGACGCTGCTGTCAGTTAAACTACATACCCACTTACATTTAAAGTAAAAACTTCAATAAGCTAGATCTGTGGGAAGAATAAAATCGAAAGGTTTGCGTAAACCGCTTCACCCATTGTGGTGGCACGTTTTTCTCCACCTTGCTAAATCATTTGCAACTTGACATGATGAATAACGCTACATATTGTAGCGACTGATAGTCTACATAATGTAAATATTCTGCTAAGTTATAAAAAATTGCGTAGTGTCTTATCCTCTGTACTTAATACAATAAATAATTACAAAATACTTAAGGATTACTGAATCTTTCTACACACCGTTATTATTAGGAAACTATCGGCTATTATCATCAGATCTTAGGATTCTGTAAGTGCGGATTCACGGCTTAATTAATTAGAAGCAAATATTAATTTCGTTCTTGAGAATAAATTCATTTCTAAGTTAGGTTTTTCACTGTTGTAAATATGTCATCGAACGAATTAC